TCTTTAGCGCTGCACCGATCTTTTCAAATTCCATGCCTGCCAATAATTCCCTTTAAATGTTAAAAGAACAGGAACATTTCTGCAATTTGTCTTACAATAAACTGACATATTAGTCAGAGTTGCAGACTCAGTAATACGAGCTGTTTAACTTATCAATTCTCAATCCTGTCTACTAAGTTCTGATCATGATATTTCTTAGTTGTGTCATACAAAGCCATTTGCAAAGATTTTCTCTGTTCCTCTGAGCATTTTTTCTAAATAACGATGTGTTTTATCATCATGGAAAATGTAAATTTTGTCCAAATAATATCTGACATGCTGAATGTGCCAAATTACAGGGAAATTAATGGGGACAGTAATGTTCTTTCCGTGGGCACCATAAGTACATGTGCCAGCTTTATTCATCCTCCGGAAAAAATGTTGCAGTACTTTTCAATGGCCATACATCCAATGAGCCTGTAATTATATGACTAGAAATGTTTATTCAAAGAAAAAAAACTAAGGCTAAAAGTCTGTCTGGGGCCAACAGTTTACAGTAACCAAAATGTGCATTTGAGTGCATCATGAGTTCCATCTCTGCCAACTCGATGCTCCCAGGCATTCTAGTAATGCTGAAATAAATGTCTTTAGAAAAAAGTAGCAGGCCCATCACAATTCACTTGGTTTCAGAGTCAGCATTGACATAAAAAAAGACTTATCTTGTTAATGTAGATCGATGGAATGTCATGAGCAAGCGTGACAACGCCATAGAAAGCTCTTGTTCTGGGCAGGGATGTGGTTTCACAGCGTATACAGCTCCTCTCTCCAAGTATGAAAAAGTTGACCACATTAATGACAGCCTGGGCTTAGGATGGCACTTCCTCAAACCCCAGAAATACTCTGTTTGCTGGTAACCATGACAGAAAATGTTCATCATTCACTTTGGACCAAGTTATGTTTTGGAGCAGCATTTTTGTCCGGTTAATACATGTCTGTTTTTTCCTCCAATAAAATCAGATTTAAATCAAAGGCGGGACCGTTTCTGCTTAATTCATTGAGGTAGAAATGTCCTGAAATGAACTTAAGGAATCATAAGAGACACCCATAACTGAGGTAATGAGCAAGATATTAATAGCAATGAAAAAAGGAGCACTGAATAATCCACAATGCTGAAAAGATTTCCAGATTCTGAGAGACTTTAAATGTTGGCTTCACGAACAATAACACTCATGCACGCTTCCATGTGAGTCACTCTTTGATGTCTGGTGATGAACTGCTTGAACATTTCCCCTTGTCTTCTGTTGTTGCTGCAATATGTCAAACTCTAACCAGTACTAGACCTCAAGGAAATATATCCTGGATCAAGCTCCTACTGAAATTCAAGATCAAAATAATCTGCTAGAGAGTGGATAATGCAAAGCTTGATTGTCTCTGATTAACTGTTTGAATAAACCAACCATTTAAAAACTTAAGCATATAATATCAGTCATTCATCCCATCAATGTCTATGTTTCTCTGGCAATCATTGGGTCTCTCTGCTGTCAGGAAACAATGCATTCAATGCATGAGCTATTTGTGCAGCATTTTGAATAAAATATAACCATTTTGTAAGAGTGAGAGACCTCAGAATTTTGCTGGTGTGTTTAGTAGGCATAACGGCAGAAAATGACTGGAACACCCTGCTAATGCAAGGGAAAATCTTCCACTCTTAATTCTCTTTATGAGTGGGGAACCTTATCCAGTATCCTACACTTTGCTGCAGTCTAAACAAAACACTCAGATTTCCCAAAAATATATTATGCAACATTCACCATGCCCTGCTTGATCTGGCAGAATGCCTCTCCTGCGTATTTTAGGTTGTAAAAATACATGAAAAATCTACCACTGTGAAGTCTTTCTGTGAAGGGCCCTTGTTGAAAATTTTCAGCCCGCTTCTCTTAACATTCTCTGGTGCCATTGTAAAAAAACTGCCACTTCTTATTATGTAACCACTTTAAAACCTTTAGATAAAGTTATAAAAAAGTTAAGATACAGCCTCATTGTACAGCAACTGCAGTGCACATGGTCAATGTAGCACTTGGGACAGTAACCCTGACACTGGAGAAGGGGCTCAAAACGATACTTACGGTTGGTTGCCAGTGGGAAGGGAGCCAAATGCTAGTTGTTGGCTGGTCGACCCATGTCTAAAAAACCCGGTTAAGTTACAATTTTCAGTGGGAAAGAGACTTAACTGTTTTGTTTTAGCCATTCAAGGTAACACATGAAAAGAGCTAACATCCTGTGGGGCTTCTGGATACAAAGAGACAAAATAGTTGTGGCCACCCAACCAGACATTGTGATCATTGACAAGCAGCAGAGGAAAGGTGCAGTGATCGATGTGGCCATCCCAAATGATGTAACAAATGAAAATGGCAGCAGATCTGATAAGACTTAGGATTGCTGTTTCTCTGTTATCGATGTTGATACCCAGCTAGACATGTGTTGTGTATTAAAGATATACGTAGAGTTTGTAAACTGAAATAGTGGCAGGCAGACTTAAAGCTAAACTGAACCAGCTGGTAACAGACAGAACAGGCTGATAGCAGATTTGAGAAAGCAGATAATAACCTTAGCTGGCAGGTTAGTGTTGGGCTTTCAGGAAGTGAATGATACTCTGGTGGCAGGAAGGTAGGCAGTGATTGCAGGTAGGCAAGAACCTCATGCAGACATGGAGGAGATGATTTGGTGGAGACTGACAGAGAAACACATGTATTATTTGGCATGATTAGTTGTATAGAATAAGGGTAATTAGCAGAGAGGTAGGTGCATCTGCTCACTCTGACTGATTAAAACAGAGCAGACGGTGGCGTACAGCCAGCCAGGATTCTCACATGTTTGTGAATGCACAAATACATAGAGAGAATTCAGCTTGCATGCTAAAACTAAACTTTGCTTTGTTGTTAAAATTCAATACATTACTTTGAGATTTGTGAATTTAAATTTTTTTCATTTTTTCTGAGATCAAAAGATCAAAAGAAGGCTCACTCAACCTTGCACTTAAGACATGTAAGTCAATTTCTACACTGCCACCATTAAGTCTGTTATGAATATATCCATGTCTGTGTGGTTTGAGTCATCTTCAAAACAGGACAGGTCCAAACTGCAGCAAAGAATTTGGTTTCAGAGATGATAATTTATTCTGACCATGCACCTTTCGTGCATCTATCACCAAAAAAAACAGCAACTAACATCTCCGTCAATTCCACACATCCTGGTAAGAGGGTGTTTAAACTTTTACTCTCAGGTTGGCTCTACAGAGAGCTAAAGGCAAAAATGAACCAACAAAAAGAGAGTTTCTTTTCCTTGCTGTCTCTCTGGTAAGTATATTTATGCCATTTATGCATTTTGAGCTTTGATAACCTACCCCTCTTATATCAAAAGATGGGCTGAACTTGCACACCTGAACATACTAATATCATTCTGTTTACTTATACAGTCTTTTTTTTACTATCTTTAGTAGTTTTCCTATTATTGCTCCAGTCTCAGACTGAATGTTAAACAAAAGAATTTTATGCTGAAAGCAGGTTCACCGCCCATCAAATAAAGAAAATACTATGGGGGTCTGTCGTAGCAGGATTCATCTGGTTTATCTACATTAATAGTTTGCATGAGGTTAAATGTTATTTTCTTTCAAATTTAACAAAACATCACAAAACTGGCTGGATAGTCAGACACTTTACAAATACAATAAATGCCCTAGTTATGCAAACAGATATATAATAAAAAACAAATAGAAGTAACATGGCTGCTGACAGGTAAAGGGATTACCAATTATATTTTCATCGGGGTATCTTTTAGTGGGTGGTATTATATAACAGGTTATCTTGCCATAATAAAAACAGGAAAAGTAAGGATATCAGTGAGTCTCATTAGAGGCTGATAAGGGGCAAATTGTGATAACCTGGATCTAAGGATCCACAAAGCTGTAGGACTCATTGGGTATTTCTTGTCTACAGCTGGCAATATACATGAAAAGCAGTGAACCAGTGGCATGACCATGGGCAGATAAGGTTTCATTTACAGTAGTAGCCATTCAAAATTTCACCACTTTCCTTGATGGGCCCTTGGCTGGTCCTTGGCTGGTCCCCTACACTTTCTTTTTAATCTTTCCTTTTTAATCTTTTAATAAATCTTTGTACTAAAATATTCTTTCTGTCATGATTAGTGGACATTAAGATCTATTGAGAAGCATCATCTCCCGGTCAGACCTCATCAGTGAAATGGTGGAGTCTGAGTAAAAATATATGTTGGGTTCATGCAGGAGATATTGCTGGGAGTTGCAGGGCATTGGGCTTTAATTCGGCTGGCATTTGACTGGGAAGGGCCATTTTGAATTGCTGCTACTATATGCCCAGTGTGGGTTAAGGTTTCCCATGTGGAGATGCACCAACCCCATAAGTCTTGTGAAGTCTATGTATACAAGGGAGATTGCTTAGGAATGGTGTGTGGAGCATTATAGTGTTTGGTTTGCCTTCAAACTTCCAAGAACTCTAACTAAATAAGTACTTATAAGACATTAACTTCCATTCGTACTTGATACTGTGAAAAAGAGTAATACTCCTTTACTCATGTACATACTGACAGAATTTCTTCTTTTCGTGCACACGTATATCTAGCAAAAACGTAGTCCTGATATTCTTGAGATTTTTAAAGAACGTTGTGTAGATAAGCAGGAATTACTGGCTGCACTCACTGGCTGCTGGGTGTGACTCTGTGGAAGACTCCTTGAATATGAGACCTGTGCTTCTCAGCATAAATAAACAAAGAGAGGTTTAAGATCTTCTGAGTTGACCTGGGTGTTTGGAGTGGGTCATTGAGTTTAATGGTTAGTCATATTCCCTCAGAGAGTTGGTTATAGCACAAATATTGTGTTTGTTAAAAAAGGATGAATAAGAGATGTGCTCTTGTACTGTTTACAAACTGTAGTGCAAATGAAGTCTGTTAAGCAAAATTTCTTACCTATCAACTCTCTGTTTTTGCAGGTTATTAGTGGGAGCGCCATATGAAAACACTGGGAATTTCCAAACAGGGGATGTATATAAATGTGCAGTTAACAAACGAACTAATGGCAACAGTTGCTCAAAGCTCAATTTAGGTAAAGTATTACAGATTCTCACTGCATCATTATCAACATTTCTGCAGTTGTACTGCTTTATAATGTTTAACTGTTGTAACCAGGCCACATATCCAGTAAATTCTACATCAGTAGGGTTTTGGAAATGCTATAAAATATTGATGAAATTAATTTATTTAGCATGTATTTTAAACCTGATTTCACCATTGTAAAATAGAAAGAATCTGAAGTTTATATTTGGTTTTGAATGAAATAGAAAACCATAAAACCTAACACTTTAAAACACATATGTGTAGCTCCCAATATTTTTATGATCTGGAAGTGGAACCGAGGTCAATTTGGTTTAAAGGAATTAAAGAGGACTTTTCTCCGAAATTAAGTGTCCAGATTAATCTAAAATGAACTGGTTGATGGATGGCATTCTTGCACTTATGCCCCCCCCCCCAAAAAACCCCAATTTAAATCCATAAACTATGGCCGTGGTGGTGCCTACAACATATTAGCCAATTAATTTTGCCTACTGTTGAAAGTGGATTGGCTACTTGTTTGTCAATCAAGCAATTTGCGTAGGTGTCGCCTTGATGTTATTCACGTAGGCTCCAACCGTAACTCACATGCTGTCTGGCTAGTGGTCCGCCATTACGCCTAAGTACAAAGAAGTACTCCTAAGCTTGTTCACTGCTGCGGCTTTTTTTGAGCTAATTGTAAATTGTGGAGAATCTAAGCTTTCTAAATATTTATAACATGTCTTTATTGGTAAAATTTTAACCGCTGTTATTTTCAAGCATACTGTTGTAAATACACAAAACGGAGCATGTTTGTTATGGCAGGCAGATATTTCTAGGCATCCAATGCATAATAAATATTAAAAAAATATTAAAAATATCTTTAAAAGTCTATTTTCTCATCAGTGTACGAGAGGGGATGTAATTCTCAGCAGGCAGATATTTCTGGGCATTACAGCGGCGGTGGCGTTTCCAGCATAGAGACGGAGGGGGCACTGACGCATTCGCACAATTCAAAAACATACAAACAGCCGTCGGAAATATCTTCCACGACAGAATCCTCTTTCATGCCTTTAATATATTGAGTTTGGACTTCAGAGGAATTTCAACCCACAAACATCTACCAGCAGTTGTATTTCAATATATTCTATGGTACACAGTACACAGTTTATTATTTACCTTGTAAATAATAATTCCAAGATTGCCTCTCTGCCAAAAGGGGCTCTTATACCACAGTTTGACAATCATGGTTTCAGATAAGTGTGTTTATAAATGCCTGAGTCTGGGTACCATACCAGTCATTCCACTTCTTAATGGTTTATGTATACTTCCATGTGTGTATTTTACCACACATTTTTACTGCCTGCCTGTTCATACGGCTTGCAGGTGTATTGCTGGTTGGCTAATCAGTTGAAGTTTAGCCTCATAAACATTTAGATCTGAAGATGTGGACACTAGTTTGCCTGGCCAGACAGCAATAACAAACCACAGTCCCAGATGAGAAAGCCTGTATTTGCATGCATGAAGCTGTTCATCCGAGGCCCTATCATTGAAATTCTTTTTCCTTCAAGGAAAGATATCTCTGACCAACGTATCAGAACGAAAGAACAAGATGAGGCTGGGTATGACGCTCGTGTCTAACCCCAAAGACAGCAGCTTTGTGGTGAGTAGGGATTTCAATAAAGCCATGGATCTTTGAAACATATTTATTAAGATTGCAGTTGTCAAGATAAAAAAAAAAGGGGCAACAAGATGGCCTTTTGATTACATGGTCGTACTGCTGAGTTTCTTCTTAGAGGATATACTTAGTTGTTACTTGTATAAACACCTTCTTTTTCATTTCAGGCTTGTGGACCATTATGGTCATATGAATGTGGCAGTTCTTACTACAGTACTGGAATATGCTCCAAAGTTAATGCAAGCTTCAAGTTTTCCAGAACGATTATCCCTGCCTTTCAGAGTAAGTTTTTAAACATCTTTCTTGTCTGACAACCATCCCCCAATGGCTCTAAATCACAGCAGGGGATTATATTTGCATGCATGAACATATGTTTCTTTTTTTTTCTTTAAGGATGTGAAACCTTTATGGACATAGTCATTGTTCTCGATGGCTCCAACTCCATCTATCCCTGGTCTGAAGTGCAGAATTTTCTCATAAACATTCTGCAGAAGTTCCATGTTGGACCAGGTCAAATACAGGTGGGAAGAAACAGACAACAAAGATTAAAACTGAGATAGCCACTTAAACTAGAGCCACTAGTGTTGCATCTAATGCCTGCTTCTGATGATCAAACACATTTTACTATTAAATAAAACACACTGACTTTATACAAAACACAAGCATTCAAAAGAGGATACTAAAGTTATAGAATTGAACTTTTATTGATCTCACAATGGTGAAAATGTCTCTATGCATTTAACCCATTTCGTGGGGGAGCAGTGGGCTGCCATTGTGCAGTGCCCAGGGAGCAGTGTGGGGTTAATGGTCTTGCTCAGAGAGCCAGAGTGGCAGTCTGTGGGGTTCGAACCATGTACCTGCAACCTTCTCAGAGCACAAGCTCCGTGCTCTAACCACTATGCCAACACCCCCTCATAAGTGAAATTCATTTCAAACCAAACTGGCTCCTGACAAAAGCAATAGCCTCATAGGTTCTGCTACCTTTAGCAGAAATGACTTTATTGGGGAGGATTTTGACAAATTCTTCTTTTTTAGAATTGGGGATTAAAACTTTAATGTGGAAAATAAAGGGTTTGTTTCTTTGGTCAATGGTTGGTTGGTCGGTTTGGATTTCTTTCCCTGAAATTATTTTAATTTAAAACAAAGATCAATATTTCTTATTTAAAAAAAAAAACAGCATTTTTTTATTTATTCAGTTTATTTTTGATATTGAAACATGTTTCGGATCTTTTTCATTGGCTCAAAATCAATCAGATGAACCCCGAAAGGGTGTTAAACGATTATTCGTTTTTTTTAACCTCATAAATTGTATAAGAATCAATTTGTTTAATTTTTTGCTGATTTATAGAACCTATACCATTGATTCAGGATTATGTCACCCAGAATAAAATTCTTCAGTTATGTTTTTCTTACACCATTTCATTTTTTGCAGGTTGGGGTTGTCCAGTATGGTGAGAAAGTGGTGCATGAATTCAAACTCAGTGACTACAAATCAGTAGAGGAGGTGGTAAAAAGGGCTCGCAGCATTGATCAGCGGGGTGGAGAGGAGACCAACACGGCTCTTGGCATCAGTACAGCTCGGTGCAGCTTGCATATCAATAAGCAGATCTACTCAACTAGGTCTTTTTGGGCATTTAATTGAAAACATTTATCTTATTTCAGCTCACAAGCTTTCAAGCAAGGAGGTCGACGGGGGGCCAAGAAGGTAATGATAGTTATAACTGACGGAGAGTCACATGACAACGCAGATCTCCAACAGGCCATTGAGGACAGCGAGAAGGATGGCATTACTCGTTATGCCATTGCTGTGAGTCAACAACAGGAGTTTGCATTATAATTCAGCATACTTTTTTGGTAAAGTCCATCAAAATACTATTCAAAAGCCTCTCTAGGGCAAAATCAACAATGTTGTGGAATTATAGTTCAAGGCGTAAATTATCTCTCTTAGACCAATTGACTTAGTGGTGCAACAGTGCTGAGAGAGCTAATCGTATTCTAAAGTTTTTTTAAGGTAGATATGCTTTTTGTTACTATCTGAGCAAAACAAAAACTAGCATTAGTGGAGGAACACAGAGATACTATATATCTATCCTTCTATTTCATAAAGGTAATGATGTATTATCATACTAAAGATAGGGTTTTTATCAGACTTTGGAGTTAGCATTCAGATGTCTGTCTAATATTACATTCAGCTTATTCAAGTTCAGCAAAGAAATTAGAAAAACTAGTAACATTTGTTGGTAATGCTCAAAGTTGTCTGTATTTAATATAGATGCACTCTGCCAAAATATATGTATTTTTTATTTAAATAGGTTTAGACACGGGTAAACTTTTAAGGTTACACCTCGATAAAGAGAGGGTGTGCTCTTCAATTTAAGCAACATTGTAAATATGTCATGAGTCAAAAACCTAAAAATTGACATTTTGTCAATTCTTACCTTACAGGTGCTCGGCTACTACAACCGCAGAGGAATTAATCCTGAGGCCTTCCTAAATGAAATCAAATACATCGCCAGTGACCCCGATGACAAACACTTCTTTAATGTGACAGATGAGTCAGCTCTGAATGATATTGTCGATGCTCTTGGGGAGCGAATATTTAGCCTTGAAGGTTGGTAAAAAGCTAATTTTAAAAGCCAACTTTGTGCTTAAATGTGTTGCAGTTAATGTGTTGCAGAAAAATACTTAGCTGTTGAATTCAAAGAAAGATTTATTTTCTTGTAGAATTTCTGTGCATGAAATTCTTGAAAAATTTAGATTAAAACATACTAAACAATATTTCAAAGCTGTGTTAATATGATAGCTTTGTATACTTCTGACAGGTTGATTCACAAAGTTATGCATTTTTATTACCAAACACTTAAAACAAAGAGCTTTCATTTTTGATGAGAAGCTTGCAAGCTCAACATATATTTTTTTATTTGCTAGTCAGTTCAACTCTAGCTACATGTCATATTTGTTTTGTACATCTATGATGCTCTGTGGGCACTCAATATTGAGGAAATATTTTTCCTAGTCAAAGCTACAACTTTTATTGTAAGTATGAACACACTTCAAGCACAGATCTCACTGTTCTGACTCACAAAAATAAACTTTTTACTGCACCTATATCTATGATAGAGCATTAATCTAATAGTGAATGAAAATACAGTAAAAAATAAACAAAAAAAAAACAGCATGCAAGGTTTTTGTTTAATTTTTTCTTGTTTTTTTTACAGCAAAGAAACAATGTACTCCTGTTTTCTGTATATTTTCTACATGTAGAAGATAATTGCTTTGTTACACTAAGGTCAGTTAGCCTCATACATGGATAAGGCAGAATGATAAATGAAATTCTTTTAAAACTGGAATTAAATAGTTTTAAGGCTTTTTATTATTATTATTTCTATAAATAATGTAATTCTGTATATTGTTAGTTATCCTGCTGGACAGCAGGTAATTCTCAATGACAGTAAAGCCGACCTTAGGCAGCCAAAGTGGGATCTGCAGGGCTCAGCCACAGTAGTTTCACTTCCAAAGTTTAGGAAAAATAAGTGCTTTAACACTGACATTCCAAAAAGCACAGTATGAGAAGTGTCCTTAGCTGCATTTTGATATGCATACTGGTGGTGTTTAGTATTTCCCCTATCGAGTCCTCTAAAAACTGGAATAAACGGCAACAAAAGGAGAGGAGATGATTCTATACTGTTCAATGAGTCTGCTTCTAGAAAGTAAATGTGAGTCACTGAACTTCAGTGAATTTCTTTTATTACAAGTTATGACTTTTAAAATGTGCTGCAGAAATGACTGGTGCGCTTCAGAAAAGGAGGCATCATGAGGCATAAGCACTATTTGGAAATCTTAAAGAAACATGTTGAGACATGAGCCAGGAAATTAAAGCGTTGCCAATACTGGGTCCTCCAAATGTTAAAGGTCAATACAATGCCTGCTCTGAGTCCCACACAGATTTCATTCATCTATTCAGGAGGAAATGGCCTTACTTCCTGCAGAAAAATTGCAAAATCTGTGACCTAAGTCATACAGTTAAAAGGTTATTTAGTTGTATTAAATACCAGGAAAATGTAAGCAAACTTCTAAATAAAAAAAATAAAAAATTAGGCATTTAGCAAATAAAATAATATAGAAATAGAAAATATAAATTAAGTAGACAAATTAATATCTGACGGAAATAACAAAAAGGTATTGTTTTATAGATTGTTGTTAAAATTGTGGAGATAGGAGACTGAACTGTTCCTTTGTCCATTAAGACAAGATCTAAAATTTTTGACAAATAATCTATAAACTGTAAAAAGCTATAAAACACCAATGCTGTTGTTGAAAGTATTCCGCCTTAAAAATTGATGCTTTCTGTGACCGCGACACTTCAAAACACTTGTTGTTTACACAGTCTTATTTACACAGGAACCAGTAAGAACGGAACGGCGTTTGGCCTCCAGATGTCTCAGGCAGGTTTTTCTGCACACAACGTGGAGGTAAGTCTGTCTGATGCTACCCTGCTGTTTCACGCCATCTGTCAATGTGTAAACCAACACACATTGTCTCAATTTCTGTTGATTTGGAGCCCCTCCTCACAATGGGTCATTCATCACTTGTGTCCCTTCAGAGGAATTGCATGACTCCAGATGTTAAGGTTCACACTGATTTAGCAGCACCTGACAGGCAGACAGACTTTTTCCACTTCAACTATGCAGTAATGAGAAATGAGACGCTTTATATTCCCAAGGGAAACCTACTGGTGAAGGATCTCAACTGGATTCAGACAGTTTAGCCACAGAATGACCTGCTTTTCTTTAAATTTCCTAGAAGTTTTAGCTTGAATTTAAGTATTTAAGGGTGAAGGGTTGCAGGTGTGCTGGCTTTTCATGCAGGACAGCTGAAATAAGAAAGATACTTTATCTCTACTGTACCTGCTCCTCATTTTATTTTGTTACTCTTCTCTTTCTGGTCCCTTTCAACATATAACTTAATGCATTTGCTTTGTATCTGAGCCTATTTCCCATTGGATTTTATTAAGGGAAAAATTCATATATTAGACTTGGAATAAAATTATACAAGAGTTTGCAGCTGGGTGGCATGATGATTGGAAATTGTGTCCACGAAGCCAGATTCCAGAGATTCTCAACAACACCAGCCTGAGTGTTGAAAGTAGGATAACATTTTGGAAAGAACTTTTAAAAGAGAAAAGCAGTCCTCAGGGCCCAGATGGTTTTGCTGAGTGTAATTAGTGTCAACTTTGAATGAGGCTTATGTCATATACTTTGCAGATGTTTCATGCATCTACATACAGCCAGCCTTTTCTTACTGCAATTTCCTGCAGCTAATAACAAAAAAATATATAAGAAGACCCCCACTTTGCCACAGTATTAGTCCATTCTCTTCCTTTTAAATTATATATTTTAGCTTTTTATTAGCTGAGTGAGTATGTATTCTCACCAACTACTAAAGGTCACGTATGTAAAACTAGACAATTGGCCTTCTACTATACAAGAAACTGTTGCAGAAAGAGGTCACTCATTCTTGAGGCTAAACTGTTCTGGGATTTCAACCATTTACCATGGAGAGACCACTTTGCCATGACGACAACCGCACTGGCATAGCAGTGCTGTTAAAAAGTGACGTAGTGTAAGTGTGGCGAGCACGCGGTTCCATTTTTCAGGATGAAATCGCAAGTTCTCTCACACACATGCTCGATAGTGTATTGGCGACAATATGGTGAACAAGGAAAAAAAAATGAACTCATTATGCACAGAAACCCTATAATTATCATGTCAGATATACAAAGAATGGTGAACCATGGAACATAGAAGACCATTTACCTAATTCTCCTGCTATTTGCAGCTGAATGCGTTCACTGGTTACTTTCCTTTCTTTAAGTTAGGTTTAAGAAAAACAGATTAAGTCTTTAGGGCTGATTGTGGGCCATTTTATTGCCTTCTTTGCTCCTTTGGTTTGGGTCAATGCCAAGTTGAACACATTTTGTGGCTGTAAAATGAGATAATGAATTTGCGTGTCATCATAAAGAATCTAAAAGAATAAACAAAACATCATAACTTAAGCTGAGGTCAGGGGTCTAAAACAATAATTTTAGTAAATAGAAAAGCTGTAAAAAAAAAAAAAAAAAAAGAGACAGTTCTGTCTCAATTTCTGGGTTTATTTGCCATTGGCATTATGGAATAGCATAATAACACACAAATAGTTCTGTATCAGGTTAAGGATTCCCATCATAGATTTCTATTTAAAAGAAAGTATCGATGGTTCCACGCATCACCCTCCATCCCCATTTATATAAAAAAAATCTGAGACAGAGGGTCAAAAAAGAAATGGTCTCTTTTAAAAACTCAACTGTAATCTCCATATTGAAAATGGTGCTTGTATTTATCGCGCATGTCACACTTCATCTTAATGATGTGTCCCATTTTATTTGGGACACATCATTAAACCCTTTACTTGGTTCCACCTTCAGGATGGAATTCTGGTGGGTGCAGTTGGTGCTTATGACTGGAATGGAGCGGTGCTGAAGGAAACACGACAGGGGAAGGTGATCCCCCCAAAGTCATCCTACATGCAGGAGTTTCCTGAAGAGCTCAAAAACCATGGTGCATACTTAGGTAAGTTAAAGAAACACTGTAAGAAGATACAACATAAAAAAAAAATAAATAATAATAATTAAGGTGTAGTTTGACACGCAGGAAAAGCTAAGTATTTTCTTTAGTTGACTATTTGGATTCACAATTCCCATGATCATCAAGCTTCAGTTTTGTTCTTTTACTGGGGTTATTTATATTTTCCCCCATGGGATAAATTGTTTTTTTGCTTCTAATCCTCCAAGCCGCAGCTGTCCTTCAAAAAGTCTATCTTTTTCCTATTTTACTTATGTAGATACTTAATTCATTTCAGAAAAACAGATATGTGCTCTTACCATGACCAGATCAGTGGTCTAATGTCAATTCTAAACAGAGATATTAACAGCGCACTTTACAACTAAAAAATGGTCTTAGTCATATTAAATTCAAACATTAAATGTATTTTACTGAATAATTTAATTCCAGTCAGTAAAACCGATAAATCTAGGGACCCACTCCTTACTGAGTAGGCAAAATAAAAGACTTATTGTTTACAGGGAAAAAAAGAACACAGTAAAAACAAATAAAACAAAAGTACTGGTCCAGGATTACTTTTTATTGGAGTACACATAAATAATGACTAGAACAGTTTTATTACATTAGATTTATTGATTATTCTTTGCCATGTTTTAAAATACAGCAGAACACAGAACCATTTAGCCAGAAGTGTGTTTTTTAAATAGCAAATAGAAAACAAACAACACAGAGTGAGCGGAGGAAAGAGTTGCAAATAATTTTTTAAGGTAAGGTAGTCAAGGAGCTTAAGCCTATAGAAGCATACCTACAGAGACACCTTCAGATACTCATAGCTAAAGTAATAACTTTAAGCTATATCCATAATGAAGTTTTCATCTTTATCTAAAGATAAAGTGGCTTTCATAAAGTAGTAACTGTAAATGACTTATTCTCATACAAGAAAAACTCAAAAATCAAGCCTGCTAACAGTGGTGGAACAGAGAGTCAATAACTACTGAAAGGATCGCTTCTATTTTGCAGCATTTAAAGCTTTGTAATGTGTTTGTCTGATGCAGGAAACTGCTCTGAATACCAAAGAACTATGTGGGACATTCTTAACTATAAGCTTACATCTGTTGACTAATCATGTGCATTTTAAAAGATTAAGGGACATTTCTAATCTGGGAGTAAAGTATAGATAAATGTAAAGAATAAAGTGCATGTCTGGTTGTTCTTACATCCTCAGGATATACTGTAACATCTGTGGTGTCATCCAGAAATGGTCGCCTGCTAGTAGCAGGAGCTCCACGATTTAACCACACTGGCAAAGTCATTATCTTCACTTTGAAGAATACGGGGAACCTCACCATCCTGCACTCACTCAAGGGCCATCAGGTACAGCCGCCGCTTCCACTTTACTAATCTCAAACTTATCTAAAAAAGCTACCAAACAGCCTTTTTTTAACAAAATAGATAACAATTGTATGACGTGGAACCACCAATGTGAAAAATTAGGTTAGTTCGTTAAAAATATGCATTGTACTCTAAAATAGAATGCAGTTCGAAAATAAATGGAGTGTTTTAATTGGCTACAAGTTTAGCCAACCTAATTAGTTTAGTTTATATGCACTGCAGACGATCTATGAAGAATTAAAAATATTTCTTTAATTAAGTGTATTTAGCCTTAATTTGAGTAGATAAATCAGATGATGTGCTAATGGAATGAATATTTTTACTCCTTAAATAAAAAAAGTAGATAATATTCACTTGAAATAAGACAATGCAATTACTTTTTCTTATTTTAAATGTAAATTGTTTTATTCCATTGGCAAAGTGTCTCACTTAACTCCTCAATTCAAGAAAAAAATGCACTTATGTTTTAAAAAAAAAAGGCTTATTGAGATTTTATTTTTTTGCAGTGTGATGTCAAGTTAAGCCACTGTGAATAGATTAAGCTGGGTAAACTTAACCCTATTGCTTGTAACCAACTGAAGCCATATTTGAGTTAGAGCTGCATTCACTTTTTAAAGTTTGCCAGGATTTAAAACATTAATGGGGGAAAATGAAGGTTACAATTGGAAATAAATAGACACCAAAATGCAAAATATGTAAAATGCAGAAGACTTTCTCAGTGAAATTATAGAAGTCTATCCAATGTTTTTAGAGGAACATTTTTTTATTCCAAAATGCTTCTTTTTCTTTTCATTTTCCTTTATCTTATAGTTTCACTCTTTACAAGAAAAGCATGCACACTATATGTGCACAAATTGTTGGTTTTATATTGATTTATATTTCATGACCTACTTACACTACCAAAATAATAGGACCTCTTTGTTCTTTATGATATATTTACAATACTGTATTTAGAACCATAATGGATTTGGCTCGTATTTCTTGAATCTCAGACAAGAAATGTAGCCAGATATGAGGATGAGTCTTTTTTTCCCTCAGTTTAGAATTGTAGCTAAAATTTCATCTTCTATATGTTGCTTGGACAGTTTTAGAATAGTGTTTTTAGATGTATAAAAATGTTTTTGTGTATTTAGTCAAAAATACAAAAGCAGATATCATTTTAAGGCTGAAGTGTCAACAGAAAATAAGTTTAAATCCAGCACTGTTTTAAGTAAATCTGGCTATGTGTCAGTGGCTCTTGCCAGGCATCACTTCACAGATTGCAAGCCTGGAATGATCTTATTTCAGCTTACATTGTCACTTGTCAACAGCAAGTTATCCAGAGCAGCAGATGTTTTGTTCTGCTGAATTATTCTTTGATCTCATTGCTCTAAAGTATATGTATTTTTTTATAACTTTATAGCCAGATGTTTCATTTCTTTTTCAAAAGAAATAACATTTCTGTTATCCAAGTGTGTGATCTGATACTCTCTGTAAAACTTGTTAAGCCTTCAAAGCATTATTATTGTGACTGATTATTCTTACAATATTCAGGTTCAAAATGCACTCAAGCTCTTCACTAAATTAATGACATATTTACTGTAAAATGCTGTTCAAGGTAAGAAGCATTAAAATACATATCCTTGTAAAAAAAAAAAATGTGTACCTTTTAAACATTTTCTTATTCTTAAAGTTAAACCAAAAACTTAATTGCATTTATTGAGACTTTGGAAGATTAAAGTGACACAGAGTACTCCACTGTTGAGATGTAAAAGGAAAAGGATACACGAAAAACGAGTGTAAGCGATGTGTGACATTTTTGTACAGCCCTCTTCACTCTGATGCCTCTTAATAAAAGAGCATCAATTAACTTGACAGTTGCCTTTTGTATCTCTGCTTCTTTTCCTATGTTTGTTTCTTTGTCCTTGAACCCCACTGAGCCTGGTTCTGCTGGAGGTTTCTTCCTGTTAAAAGGGAGTTTTTCTCTCCACTGTCGCTAAAAGCAGGCTTAGTGTGAGGAATGGCCTTCGACTCAATGAGTCGATGCAGGAAACTTGGAATCAATTTGACTGTATGATCTGGTGAATTGTAAAGTGCTTTGAGATGATATGTGTTGTGAATTGGCGCTATAGAAATAAACTGAATTGAATTGATTTTAACCTTTGAAAGAAATTTAAACAGTTTGAGAATCAGTGACAACTATTCTTTGAAGGTCTCAGATTATTGTAAAAGAACAATAATGGCCACTAATGCCAAGCTGTAGTTGTAAAAAAAATGGTTCCAATTCTTCCCTATCTGATTACATAAAGGTTAGAAAAATATATATATTAAAAGAAAAGCACACATCATCATGAGTCGAAAAAAACACTAGACAGGCCAGAGAAGATCCTAGATATGTTATTCTTTATAACATTATCCCAATTATCCCCACTTATTTTTCTTGGATCAGTGTTAATATTTACCTATTTGTTCTTAGTTCACTTACCTATGTGTTAATTAGTCTTTCTGTCTCAGTCGACCCACTGTCATTCTTCCAATGCTGTTTCACACATCTTCTAGTTGGTTTCTCATTGTATTTAAACTATGTTTTTTTCATTGTTTGTCATTGGATTTCCCTTTAGACTGTCTGATACTCTGTAGTCCATAGCTGGGAGAAGGAAAGAAAGGTTCCCCCGATTTAATTTTTGAAGAACTTTGTTACCATTGTGTCTATGCTCTTGGGTCCTCTTCAAACCTCGACACATTACCCAATATTCAAACATCTGATAAAGTGTGACACAGCAGTAAATTCAGTAAGGCTTGTTTGCCCAGGAAACTGTCAGGAAAAGCATGCATTGCCTTACTGACAGAGGCTACAAAAAGGGGCATTGACCGTAGTCAGCAGTTGCAAGGAACCCAAACCAGCATGTGTACTCCGCAATGCAGAAAGGATGCATATGCGCAGGAATGATTCTGCATGAAGGACGTTTGGCCGGCTGTTGCGGCGGCTATCAGATCAAGCTCCTCAATTTCCAGAGTCAGAGTCAACAGTAAAAGTCAGGCACTATAGGAAAGAGTTCTGGAAAGTGTCAGAATGAAACCAGCCAAACAACCTGCACAACTTGACTAGTCGTCAACAGAATAGAAAAAACAAATATACAAGGAAACAGAGGGACTAGTAAAGGAAAAGTATTGATATTTATGCAAAGAGGTAATGAGTTTTGCACTAGAACCATCGGAAAGAAGGCGAACCAATGTGAACCTCTGTTCTTGCAAAGAACGTTTCTGCTGCCCAAACCAAAGCTGAGGTCGCTACAGCATCAGAGTCAATCATTTTCTGCTGCACCCCGCACTGGTTCAGGGGTGCAACCAGAGGTTGGTCAGTGTGAGCTTAGGTGCGAAGATTCACAGCTTGGACATAATAACTATTAACAAGAGAACTGTATCTTATATGCTCAAGAAACCTGTCTATAATGAAAGAGTGAAAACAAGAAACACCTTGTTCAGAGCTTTAAGAATACTTAAATGTTGTCACTTATCCACATGTTCCAGGCAGTAATATGTAATAGACCATGTATTCATGTCTCTGTTTCAGATCGGCTCCTACTATGGTAGTGAGATTGCACCTCTGGATATCGATGGAGATGGCATAACTGACAACCTTTTGGTGGCAGCACCAATGTTTTTCAGTGCAGGCTTGGAGAAAGGGAAGGTCTACATCTACAGAGTAACTGAACTGGTGGGTAATCTTTTTTAATAAACAGATGCAGAACACAGAATGGTTTTAATTAGGCTTGGACCAATCAGCCCAATTTTACACAGCTGGGTCAACACCTGTTCAAATCCAGATGTTCCCACTTTTATTTCAAACACACAACTAGAAATGTCCCGTTACAAAAACCTACTGGCATTCTCAGAGTTTGACACATGACCTTTTCCTGATCAAATGAGAAAACCTCATCATGCCAGCATTCAGACTTTATAAGAGATGCAGAATGAACTCAGAAGGAAAGTATTCTATCCCTTCTAAACCCAGCTCTTTAAAGGAAAGAAACTTCTTTTTATTCCAGGTCTGTCTCACTTGTTCGGAAAATTAATGTCCTCAGCTGGTTTAAATTCACAGAGCAGGCATAGATGAGCTTTTTAAATGTCTGCCGTGGCCAAAACCACATCACAGGTGGTAGCATCATCTTCCAAACAAAACATAAACACATCTTAGCAATGCATCTCATCATTAGGACAGAATTGCCACATGTTCAGGGCAGTTAATAATAATAATGAGGTTTATTCAGGTGTTGTTAAAGATGCAGCTTTGTGGTTTGGTTCTGGAAAACCACTTATACATCTCTGTGGTCCTACTAAATATTTGAGAAGGGGTTTGTTATTTTGAGGTTAACATTTTTTGTAAAAAAAAAAAAAAAAAAAAAAAAATAGATAAATACTGATGCACCAAGCAGATCAACTCTGCATTATAAACATGTTACCTTCTAATGACTAAACTTTTTTAAGATTTCTATATTTTGCATATTTATGTATCTAAAAAAAGCTTTAGGCTTTCTTACTCTCAGGTAAATTATGGTTATGTAAGACTATTTAGTCACACAAAAACGCATATACTTAATTCTCTAAAAAACAAATCTAGACAGAATTGTTTCCCAAGTTTGTAAAACTTTTATAAACTAAATAAAAATAAGCAAGCAAAGGTTAATTTGAACAAAACAAACAGCTACTACCTTGTAAAAAGGGGTATGCAGGTGGATCTTACTAAATTAGAAGGCAATTAATGTCAGTCATTTACTTAATGAAGATAAACTCTTGTCTTTGTTTTAGATGGATCAGAGAAAGACATATATATTTAACGTTCATCACTTTAATTCATTTAAATGATTGAAATTGTAAAAAGACTAACAGATTAAAAGTTGAAACTATTTATTATGGCCAAAAAGAGCACAGGGAAGATTGCACAGTTCATCATCAAAAATATACTGGAAAAGGAGAGCTTGACTCCATCAATCTTGCAGACAGAAGGAAGCATGAAGTTTAATCCATTTCAGTTTATTCATAAAGCACTAATTCACAACACACAGTATGTCATTTGAAGACCCTTTACAGAGACAATTCAACCAGATCATCCAGTCAGATTGTTTCAAAGTTTTCTATCTAAAGAAAAACAACTGATTTCATTGACTGACTGACTTGACAGTAATCCCTCCAATCGAGCATACATGTAACAACAGTGGGGAGGAAAACTCCCTTTTAACAAGAAGAAACCTGCGGCAAAGCCAGACTGGGGTTCAAGGAGACAGAGGCAGACATACAGAAAGAAACAGAGATACAAAAGGTAATTGTAAACAAGCCCCAGATATGGCCCCATCTAGGAAACAAAGCCAGGCAGATGGGTCTGAGACATTTCCCATGTCAGAGGATGAAAGAGAGCACAAATGTTTAGTCACAGTAAGAGAAACAGGACTACACTGAAAAACACGTCAAGCTCCAACATATATAAACAAAGGTGTTGATGGCAGCAGCACAGCTGATATTTCTCTCCAGGATGGAGTCACAGCCAAACAGGAACAGACCAGATTAAGGTACTATGAGAAAAAGCAGAGAGAGCAGATTTTTATTCAGGATTCAACAAACAAATACCTGAGAATGGGAGAATAGAGATAGAATGGAAAAGAATGATGAAAAGTGGTTCCTATGTCTTCCAGCAGTCTAAGCCTATAGCAGCATAACTGCAGAGAAAGCTCAGGATAACACAAGCCAGTCTAACTATAAGCTTTATCATAAAGTAATGTTTTAAGTCTTGCCTTAAACGTAAACAGGGTAGAATAAATTGGTAGTTGGTTCCACTGACGAAGAGCCTGATAACTAAATTATTTGACTCCCATTCTACTTTTAGAAATTCTCTGAACCAAGAACCAAGAAGTGTGATAAAATATCCTGGTAGATGGTAGTGTTGACTGTGGCCTTCGAAAGACACAGATGACCTATTTGAATTCTGTGCTTCTCTACTTTTCCAGACTCTGGAACCTTGAATCCAAATTAATTGTGAATTTCAATTTAATAATATTAGATATATTATCATGTAACAACACTCCACCATCTTTTCTCTCCAACAAAGGCATTTCTGACATTGTCTCTAATTTAGGAGTGGCTCAATTCAAATATATATACCGGTTTAATGAACTTACGAGCTACTGTACCAAAATGCCTCCACTGAAATAAAATAAACTCTTGAATAATTAAGAAGGAGCACCTGTACATTTACTACACATATAGGGATAAGCTGAAGGGTGTTCTAGAGTAAAGTTTTTACTTTTAAATTAAAAAATATATATATAATTGCATACTTTTTAAATAATAAGTGCCTGATATTGTATGTTTCTGTGCTTCTTTGTTTCTTTCCTACCACACATGATCTAAATGATTTAATTATCTCCTGAGTTTGTCAGTCATATTTAGTTCAGAGTAAATAAGGTGTGTTTGAGTAGTAACATCATGAAGCCTATTGAAGTTTTCCTTTAAAAACTATTAAGTTGCTGTAGAGCAAATTAGATTTAAAGACAGGTACAGCACATTATGATCAGTTTTAACCACACCTTACGAGATTCATTCAAAAAATATTTTAAAATCTGACAGCTGATTAAAAAACATAAATTTCTCTGCTTTTTACTGTCTGACATCAATACAGTTGTGGACTGGTCACGACATCTTGATGCCTCCTCACTAACCGTCTGTTTTCAATTTAAGGATTATGTTTGCATTTCCCTGCTTCCTAATAAATCTCCCATCTTGTCACATATGCTCACATCAGGTAGCTGAGAAATAGAAGCCACCGATTTAAATCAACTCCAGTTACATTCGCACAACTGAAAAAACAAGTGAGCTCATGTTTAATCTGGCAGCCCTGCGTTTTATTACTGTCTGACTGTTTGATGCCAAATGGAGCAATGATATGGATGAATACTAATGGACTCTGGTGCCATTTTCTTAGACTTTAGTCTAAAAAATTTTCCAGAAGTTTAGTTTCCTCTAAAGTCACGGTTATCTTCCATTTGGCTTAGCACTCTCTAAGAATAGGACTTCAAATAAATATCCCTAACTATAATGCATTCTTTGGTCCTTTCAGAACCCGGAGGTAAAATTCTTTAGTTTTTAGTGCCAGATGTTTCAGTTCAAAGAAAAGGAAAACAAAGAGTCATGTGAAAAACACAGATGTTAATCCAAACTTAGTCTTCTATGTGATTAGATAGAAGGATGACAAAAAGAAATACATGTGCTACACTTCGTGTATCATCTGAGGATGGTTTGAAGATAACTGATAAAATGAACCCTGATGGATGTAAAGCTTTATGCCTTACATCCATCAGGGTTCATTTTGTCAGTATAACTTTTTGTTCTTGTATAAAGAGTTTAAATGTAAAGGTGAATTGTTTTCTGACAACTCAATCAGCGTTTGAATCAGAAACAAAAGGCTTGCCAGATGAAATATGCATTTCCATTATATAGGAAGCAGGGCAAGGACATACTTTCCTGTAGAAAAAAATCCCACAAAAGTAAATAAACTATTTTGAATCATCCTTTTTTTTGCATTGGTACCACAAGAAGTAGAGCTTTTACATTGGACAATTATTTTTGCTCACTTTTTTAAAGTTTTTCATATTTTTTTATATGTCCTTGGTGAATTTTTCTGATAAAATCCTCATCCCAAAGTTCCTAAAAACCTTAAAGTGATGTGTACATAGAAGACAACTGTAATTATAGTTGGCATGTGAATAAGGAGTCTAAAATATTGTAGTCCAGGGGCCAACATTGACCGACTGTAAATCCCTTACTATGTGTTAATAACTCACTTCTCATATTTGTCAAATGTGGAAAACACAACCACTTGTGCAACAAAGAAAATAAAATTAGGTCTATAATCAAGGTATATACCCAGTAACATGCCATGATACTCAATGTGGACTCACTTGTTTAGCAGTTACAGTGCAGCAAATAGAAACATTTGGAACCAGGATTAAAAAAATAAAAATAAATAAAACGTGAAAATAATGTTAAATCACCTCTAGCCATCTTAGGTGAGCAACCATCAGCTGTTGGCAGGTTCAACTGGCATCATAGGAGCAAGGGGCACAATTCCTTTACTCCTATATACTGCATCCCTTCTCATTTTGGGGCAAAGTCTTTAGTCTGTCATATATGGTTCCTTATTCAATAAACAGAAGGTAAGAGTAAACCTTCAGCTCCTTCTAGAGGAGAACTGCAATGGGTACATGCAGCAAAAGCTATCCAGGCACACCCTATAAAGTCTCAGTTTAAACAATAAATCACCCACAATGGTGGGGAAACACAGCAAAAACCCGGAAGCAAACAAGTCCATTCAAGCAAAAGTACAATGCAAACTAAAACAATTTTTTGAGATGCAACAAAAACATGAACATAGCAAATGGTGAGATTAGCAAATTGTGCATGTTTAAGTAAACCACAACTTAATCCTAAACACTTTCTTGCTTAATTTGTACTGATTTTAAACCGTGTTGGTATACATACATATATTAGTTCATTTTTAATATAAGATGTCATGATCATGTTAGATTTAAACTCCCTTTCCATTGAATTGTTCTTTTTGAAAGTTAAATGTAGAGAGATCAAGAAAATATTTTTTAAATGATAAAAAAAAAAAGCATTTTGAAGCTGGAGAAGTTTCGTTAAAATGATCCCTGACTGCAAAATTTCTGCGCCATCTAAGAATACAGTAGTTGTGTTAAAACAACAAAAGAGATTTACCTTTTTATCATTTAAAATTACACTGTTAATCATCAGCATTACTCTTCTACAGTAGTCCTAAATTATTTGTCCTTGTTCTTGTCATTTAAAGGTTGTTTTCACTCAAATTAATTTAACTTCTTTAGTTGAAGTTAAGTAAAGGTTAATTAATATGTTGAATTTAAGTGATATTACTTTAGAGTAATGGTAGATTTTCCACGCTCAGAAGTATTCAAATTCAGTAAACAGGCAGAATCCAGCAGGAGTCCAAAGACAGGTCAGGCAAACAGATCAGACAGGAAAGGGCAGAGTCAGTGGCTGAGAGGCAGAACAGGTCAGGATCAGGTAATCAGAAACTCTAAGATTACTCTGAAACACTCACCACTGGCTCGAGAATAATCTGGTCTGATGACTGGTTAGTGGGCAGGTTATATAGAAGCAGGAGCAGGTGGATCAGATGAACGGCAATGAGAAACAGGACAGAGTTAGACGGGTGAAATTTAATCACTAAGCTAGTCATCAGTGCCAAGATCATGACAGTAGATATCTCATATGCCTTATTTTTCCTTTTTGACAATATTACACTTATCACCCTTGTATTTATCAGCATTGTCCACTTATTTTTGGCCAAGTCATTTTACTGCATGATGCCAAAAAAGAGGGGGAAAAATGAAATGAAGAGGTTGAGAGCATGTTTCTGTCCAGCTTGCAGTGCTAGTTTGTATTTTTACAAAAAAAAAATATCAAAATTCCATTTTAGTTCACTTAAAATCACTGATGTTGTAAACTTCCTTCAGAGTCTGATACAACCAAGTGTGGTTTGATGCTAAGGATCATATTCTGCTTGGAAATCCTGTTTTTCATGTGTTTGCAATTAGTTTCTTTTAGCATCAGTTTTAGCAGCCCAGTCTCTGAACAAAGCTGAAAGTTGCTTTGTTCAGCAATATTACACACTCTGGCATGATGTCTGAAACTGTTCTGTAATCTTTAACCAGACATCAAAAAGACTTGGAGGTGATAAGCTGCCCTCATAATTATAGACTACTGAATATTTGCAACATGTGTGGAATGTGAAAGTCCATTCCGCATAGGCACCATATCATATCGTAGACAGAGTTTAAAGGATCTTATGGTATGACGTGTGCAGAACAATACTTTAGAACATCTACAGAGAGCTTCAATAAATTACAGCTTAAAATGACCTGCCAAGTGACAGACTTTGATGTTCCTCATCAGAATACTTTACAAAGCAATGATCTTTCTAGTCTGATGGGAAATGCTCTTGAAACATTAGGCAGGACACTTTACCTTCATGTTCAGGGATGTTTGAGTCAAATTAATTTATCCAATGTCCAAGACATATCTGGCTCCTCTTAGGTTATGTAGCCACATTTCTGAAACTGTCAAACAATAAACACTACTGGACACCGGATTTAACTAATAGTAAATATTGAGAAATATCCTTATATTTAGAACTTTCTGATGTGCTATTGAGAGGATGTGTAGGTGCTTTCAGGTATTTAAAAAACAAATTATGTGTGATTAAAGCTTTCCTAAAACATTACAGGAGTGTAGATGATTGTATTGTTTGATACATGAACCTTTCTTTTCTTTGGTTAGAATCGTTTCATCCCAGAAGGAGCATTGGAAATCCACAACGGTGGCCAGAACGCTCGCTTTGGGTCCTCCCTCGCTCCTGTCCCTGACCTCAATGGTGATGGCTTTAACGACTTGGTGGTGGGAGCTCCGCTGGAAGATGACCACAAAGGGGCTATTTATGTTTTTTTTAGCCAGCACAACAGAATACTACGGAAATATAAACAGGTAGGACATTGCTAGAACGGTTCCATTTAAATATAAGATGACTTCTCAACTTTTTCTGTCTTCAACCTCTAAGTGTCAAAACAATTGCTCAAACCAAAAATGTTTTTTGTAAATTGATTCCTTAATGTTATAACTTATAGTAGTTTGCTTTTTGACCTGTAAAATATGTGCAATGTTATATAGATCCTTATTACCATTATGTACCATAATTGGAAACTACAAAACTAAGAAGTACTTATTAAACGAGGGATGTGTCGCATAATCTGAATATTTTTTAAACATTTACAAAAAAAATGTAATGCTGCTACAAAACTGGCACAAAATTCAGCCTTTTATGTTAATTGTTTTGAAGCTGTTTAACAAAAGCCGAATGGAGCAGTTCAGGCTTAATACCTACTAATAGACAGTACCTTCATTTCTCACAGATAATCTCTAAACATTTTCAGTTTAAGCTGTTTAAGCCAGCCTAAACAAATGGGTTTCACCTGGACAATAACATCACAGAACCAACATTCAAATCTAAACTAAACATGTTAAAGCAGTTAAAGCAAAATACAATGTTTGTTACAGTAATATTTAAGTCACACTATTATGTTTATGCTTTGCTTCTCAAGGCCTTAAAAAGGGATTATTGTCTGAAGAAAATAATGTCCTTTGCTTTTTAACATGCATGTCTGCTAGTGAGCCAATCATAATGTGACCTCTGACTAGATTGTGTTTTTTATATTGATCTGTTAAAAAAGGTTTTTGGAATAAACATTAGAACTTAAGAGACAGAACCTACATCAGTCATTTGCTTCACAGCCACAAGATTTGTACCATTAAGCAATAACATTGCTGAATGTCATGCTGCACTAAGCAGCAGAGACCGTCTTCACTGATAAAGACTAAAAGATGCTAGATCCTTGGAGAGGTAATGACTTACTTCACGCTTATTCTAAAAAATCCTTTTCCCTCTAAGAAGCAGTCCAAGAAATTTAGACAAACCTAATGAAAAGACAATTACATCATGAAATAAATCGGTTCTACTCTATCCTTTAGTTTCCATGATGAATTGCACAGATTTTTATGAAAAACTGAATTATGTTTTGTCGCAATAGAAAGCATTTCTATTTTAAGAGCGTGCTTTGATTCTAGAGAGGTATCTTTATGTGTGTTGGATATTAAAATAAACAGACTATACGCTACAAGTTACATGAGTGGTACATTATGACTAGTGTTCTTTTATTTATATTTTATTTTATTTTTTATCTCAATAAAACTTCTCAAGTATCAAACAGAGTTATGACAGTTAGTATAAATAGAATTTTTTTATTAATTAGAAAATCCAGCATAACAAAAAGGTAACTATTGTAGAAGCAAGCAACGGTATTTCCTGAACAAGATAAATGTTAAATGTTTTTCAATACATATCTTAAAGAAGTCACGTTATTTGTAACTACCCACTCATGCTAAACTAGAATTATGACCAGATGGTTACATAGCTGAAATATTGTAAATAATGTTACAGGAATTTATGTTATTATTACTTCAAACAGTAAAAGAATGAAGTTCATGTTGTTCATTTATCCTCTTTCATGTTAACTGGTCTTGAGATAATTCTGCAAACTTTATCTTTTGTCCGTCCTCCAGAGAATAGCAGCCGTAGATTTGGCTGCAGGCCTGCAGTATTTTGGCCGCAGTATTCATGGCACCATGGATATGAATGATGATGGTTTAGTGGACCTGGCAGTGGGTTCCCTCGGTGCTGCTGTTCTCCTCTGGTCAGTATCTGAAATAATTGTTTGCAACTTTGCAGAGCATGATGACAGCAGAAGCATTAGTGAACTTTATTAAAGAAGTCTGGTTTGCAGAAACATGGATTACAGTTATGGCCTCTGAATTGGCCTCATCTGTCCCATCCTTTTCCCCCTCATAGGTCAAAGAGCGTCGTAAGGATATATACTAATGTCAGGTTTGAACCCAGTAAGGTTAACATCTTTATGAAAGACTGTCAGCGTGGAGGCAAAGATGTGACTTGCATGTCAGCTATTGTGTGCTTCAACATCACTGCCAGGACGGCCGTTCCTCCCACACAGGAAATTGGTAAGCCAGCAAAAACAATCTGCAGGAATAGCTTCAGCAGAGTTTCCAACATCTTACTTCTTTCCATTTGTATCAACTGTAGGCTAATTGATAACCCATCTTATCTTATATTTATTTACTTGTTGTACCTAAGAAGGTCAGACACTCATAAGTGAGTTAAAGAGTGGTGTTTGGATACATAATCTCTGACCTAAAACAATTACTAGCTTTTGGTTTTGAATAAGGACCAATAAATGTATTTTAGTTTCAAATGTAAATATGACTTTATTGAAATTAGAAAAAAATATATAATCCATCCGTCCATCTTCTTCCACTTATCCGGGGTTGGGTCGCGGGGGTAGCAGCTTCAGAAGGGAGGCAAAGACGTCCCTCTCCCCAGCCACTTGGGCTATCTCCTCCGGGGGAATCCCAAGGCGCTCCCAGGCTAGCCAAGAAACATAGTCCCTCCAGCGTGTCCTGGGTCTCCCCCTGGGTCTCCTCCCGGTGGGGCGTGCTGGGAACCCCTCACCAGGGAGACGTCCTTTGGCATTCTGCTGTATTTATAATATAGGATCCAAAATACAGCTGCATTCTGCATGCAGATAACTCTAAAAAATGTAATGGTTGTTCAATGCAGAGAAAAAGTCTTCTTCACACTTTAATAGATTCTAATCTCTGATTCTTCTCTCCAAAAAACAATAGCTTCTGCCTCTAACACTGCTACATTTGCACTATTCTGCCAGAATCAGATGTTGCTTTAATGGTGTAAAAAGCTGCATCTTTAAGAAACAGGGGCACTTACTGGCAAAATAAGTTTGTTGGACCATCAAAGTTTAAACCAATGTTTACCCACATGAAATAGTATTTCTGTGTTTGTTTAAAAAGCAGTAACTTCCGTTATGCCTGACTATGATTTAGGGAATGTGTTCAGTTGACTCTTTGACCCTGAACCATTTTTATTGGATTAGTTTGCCATGCCAGAACAGAAAAGAGGAAGGGAGGGGAGTTACCTTCTCCTTTATGCTGGAAGATGCAGAATACATTTATTTGATTTTTCCTTTATCATGTCAGCCAAGTATTGCATGACAGATGTTCTGATAAACATCAAGTTCCTGTGGCCTGACCATTTTTTCTTTGGTATCAATCAAATCAAATTTCTTCATATGAATTTACAACAATTCTGGACATTTTATTTAAGAGGGAGACTCAGAAGTGTAATTTATTTTTTAAAGGAATCTATCTCCAAAGCCCTTAAACCTTTTGAGTTTCAGGACTAAAAAAAACACAACTGCATATTAATATATTTCCCTGTCTTCTCAACAACTGTCTTGTTGACCTCAAACATAATGCATGTATGATTATTTAATAGTTTGTTTGTTTTTTGCTCATTTTATGACAGTTTAAAAACCATAACTAAATAACTAAATAAACTCTTAATGTAAAACTTTTTTTTGAGGCTACCGAGTTTGGAATCTTCTATAGGTTGGTCCCGCATTCATGAAGTGTTTTAAGACAAGAGAATGTTTTAATTGCACTACTGTGATTTTTAATCTAAGAATCAAATGTTTCTTTCAGAAAAAATCATTCCTAATCCTGTTTTTGGGCCCAATAGGGATCAGGTATAATGTCTCCATTTTGGAGAGACGTTTCAATCCTCGGGCCATATTGGATCAACCAAACAAGATGCAACCTCAAAACCTGACGCTCTCTCCTGGTGAAGAGGCCTGTGAATACATCTACTTCCATGTCATGGTGAGGCCCATAATCTGGGAAAAGTCAAAGTCACAAGGTCAAAACTGTCATTATCATCAAATTAATGTGTATTTAGTTTTTTCATTTGTCAAAATTACATGTAAAAAATAGATTAATTGGAGGATTTTAGTTTCATGAATTAGAAATATTATGTAAGAATTAGGAGTTTCACATGAGCATAGGACAAATTCAAGAGTTTTTGCAGACGTTTGCCTCCTTTGGTGAGAAGTTGAAATGACACCAATATTTTCCACATGCATAGGGGAAGAGAAAAAACATTGCTATCTGCTGTTGCAGTTGTAAAGATCTTTTGTTTGCAGCCATAATATAGTCTGGAATAAGAAAGATATAAATACTGAATTAATTTGGAGCAGATTTTGATGAATTGACTAATGGGGGCAATAGACGCAGCTGCGGTAAATAGAAGACAGCTCATTTTGCATGTCAGGTAAAGAGGACATTTACTATGACAAAAAGCCACCATTTACTGCAGCACTAAACCCATATAAAACCTGCAATTGCGTACCAACAAAATTGGTATATGTTTACAGGATCTAGTTTTATATTTTCAATGATAACAAGCAACACTGTCTAATTAAGCTAAATGGATTTACACTTATTTAGGCAGTACAGTTCACTTTGTCAAAGATAAACATGGCAGCTTCAGCTTCCCTTTTAAAATCTGTATCTTTCATTAGCTCCTCCCACCTTGAGACTTCCCTGATGTTTATCCTTGTTTTTTTCTTATTCTCCAGTTTTGTTGTCTTATAATTTCTGTTTTTTGGTTTCTTGGTGATAGTGAAACCGTTTCTTGTGCAGCTGCTGCATATGCACAGTCCACCATTATGCTGCAGTAGTGCAGACTTTCACTTCTTGGTTGAGCATCTCCAAATGATCTCTACCATCACCTCTCAGTCATACTGAACTGCCAGCAAGGGGAAACATGTTATTTCATGCAGGAAAATGGAGAAATTGTTGCCCAATACTTCTTTAATGTAATGCACCTCTGCAATGGTTCCCTCAACTATATTCACCAGATAACAATATACCCAAAGCTAACTGGTTACCTACTTCATCACACACTGTAGTTTATATAAGCTTATTAAAACATTGTAGCAAAACACTGAATATATCCTCCTGTATGTAATTACACAATTTTAAAGGAACAAAGAAAACTGATAGCTATCCTGAAAAACATTGCATTTCCAACATTTATTGTAAAGCTGACCTTTGATCAAACCATTAGACTCAGGAATGTTTTGGTCAAATGCAAAATAACTTACAACAACCAAACACATGAAAACATTTAAACAGAAAGCACCAAAAAGTCAAAAAAACCAGGATCCAGAAAGTTGGGGGAAATGTTGTCATTACTTAAAACAGCAATCAATCACATCCAAACCACGCTTTCTTTCAAAAACTAAGTTTGAGCCTGGTGTGTTCAAAGTGTGGCTCAGGGACCATTTCCAGCCTTCAGATGGGTTGTGTGCAGCTCTCCACCACTATTCAAGAAAGCCACACATTTGTCTCATCCAGCAAGTCACCTGATCAAGAAGGATGAACTGATTAAGGGCAAGATTTTCTCCCAAGATTAAACTATGTGTTTATCATTTATTTATGACATTTTTTTGCCACTCCTCTGAATTTCATATTAACCCTTTATATGGCACTCAGTGAAATACCTTTAATTTAAATTTAAATTTCAAGCTAATAGTGTTATTGGAATCCAGGACAAAACCTTTTTAACCTTTGTAACATTCAAAAAATAGGGACATTTTGATGGCAAAAATTAATGTCAATGTAATAACAAAAAACACCAACTTGCCTGAAAATATTAAGAAAAAAAAACAAAAAGTGCTTCTATGAGAAATTAATTTAAAAAAAGCTCTGAGAGTAAAAGAAACACATTTTTTTGGTACAACATAACCTTAAATGCGTTAATGCTGATACTGGCACTTACATTTTTTGTTCATAAACCTAAATATAATTGTTATCTAGGATTACTAAATTTTTAACTTTACTTTTTAACTTTTCAATTAGCTTTTTACCTTTTTTTCTCCAACTTAATTTACAGTAGGTAATATATCATTTAATGGCTCATCTAATTGGGCAGATGCCAAAATAACATGTGCAGCCATATAGCAGTATCTTTGCTGAATGGCTGGATATATTGTAGATCTTGTTCTTCTAGACCTCACTGAGGGATTAGGGGACTCCAGTTTTAAGGGGTACGCAAGTGATTAAAAATGGTAACTTGCCCTATAAAGGGTTCAGCTATACCACAACATGTTCTGATTGCTTTTTAAAAGCAGAATAGGGCACAACCATTCATTAGACTTTGTCCAAATACAGTCGCCGTTTTTAGAAGACTGACTAGCACCCTATTCTTGTTGCTAGTCAGAGATTACGTTTTTCATACACAAATAATAAAAAAAATTGACCCAAATATTAATTAATATTGACCTTTCGTTTTTTAAATTAGTGTTCTAAACATGACCTTCTGTGATGCCTGGATCTACAATACAATGATTCCTGTACTGTATTACTTTTAACTAATAATCACTGAGTAGTTGCCTCAATAAATATTGTATCTTTACTTCATTGTTTGGTAACACAGCATCTAAATGACTCATAATTTAATGAAAGAGGAAGCAAGGGTTTGTATCGACTGGAAACCTCCTTTAAACCCTGTACTGGTGAATGTCTTCATGAGCCTGTTATAATCCACAAGGATTACAACTGATTTATCATATACCTTTTAAAAGCACATGTAATTTTATGTAAAAATAAAACACTGTAAACACCAGGGACATTGAAGCTCATATCTCCATCAATTCTAGTGGTTTTGCTTTTTAATTACAGTTAATGTTGCAGGTAGCCCCAAAAGCTTCTGGGAGAATTCATGGTTAGCTGTGATAAATTGCCCCTTCAGAGTAATTGGCCTTTATGATACCAAACCCCAACAACATAGCTGAAATATTTGATCTTTGTTATAGTTAATGACTGATCAATCACAACAATAATACTGCAAGCAAGGGCGTAGGAATATGTTTACAATTGGGGGGACACATGTCGGAAATCTGAGATTCGTAAATATTCAACAGAAACATGTCTTAAGTACGCTACTTTAAAAAAAGGCTATTTAATCTTTTACTTTATTCCTTTATAAATGTGTCTTGCAAAAATAATGCATTTAAAATTTACATAATGCATTTGTTCATAAGATGTGAGCATATCACCAAACAAAATGACTGGAGTCTTTTATTAAGCAAAGGGAGATGTCTTTCAAGGGCTTCAGCCCTTGGCATATTTAGTGTCCGCATACGCACTAGAAAATCAAATATTTCAGTTGGATTAAAAACAATTCAGTAGGCCACAGAAGTGCAAAGTTTGATATGTTTTATTTTGTCAAACTTGCAATAATGGTCAAAAATGAATTTATATAGGTTGACTGACAGAGGGAGCTGACAGTGTGGTGAAGAATTATGGAAAGGGCGCTTTGAAGCATCTGGTTCAAAAACGCATTCTAAACCTTTGGTAGAAATCCATCTATCCTTCCATTTTCTGTACACCCTGTCCCTTAGTGGGGTCAGGAGGTGCTGGTGCGCCAGTCTGTCCCGACCTTTGGTAGAAATGGCGTCTTTAATTCCAATTTGCAGTACAGAACAGAGAAAACTACAGAGTTGTCAATGTTGTGTTAATCTGTTTATAGTCTAAAAAGAGGAGCCAGCAGTTTATTTGAGGAAATAAAGGTGCAGAAGTTAATTAGTTGGTTAATTAGTGGTTGTGCAGCAGTTCGCTGCTAAGAATTAAAATTAATTCTCCCTGTGGTTTTAACTAACGATCAGGAGCACGGCAGGTATAACATCTGTCCATTTCGGCGAATCAAAACCACACAAAAAATAAAAAATCCCAGACCGGGCTAATTTCAACACAAGTTGTGTAAGGTGACTGTTACTCACACTGACGTTTCTCTTTTTTAAAAATCTGAGTAAGTCCTACTGCTGTTTAAGCCTTTTAGTTGGTGGTGGCATTGTACTGAAATGAGATATATAAAAAAAAATAACATTTTGGCTAGCGTGGCAAACATCTAGAGAAAGTTAGCAGTTAAATATTGGATGAGTGATCAGCCCAAGACTACGGAAGAGGATTAGGGCCACTGAAAAAAGTTAAGTGATTTTTAAATTTTATTTCAGTTTAATACAGGAAAAAAGTCAGAATTCTGACTTTTTTCTCAGAATTCTGACTTTAATCTCAGAATTTTGGATCTTAATGTAGATGGGCACCATGAAGGTAGAGATGTGGAGCATTCAGCTTCACTGATAAAGATGTGAGTTGTTTGAGATGGCCAGTGACACATTGGTGAAAAATTACAGAATTAGGCAACTTTTGATGTGCCCGAGGGGTCCCCTCATTAATGGAGGAGCAGAAGGTCATTAAAACAAGAGAGCTAGTCTCTAAAACAGACATGGCTATGGCTTGATGCTAACATGTTTGTTTTTAAACATACTTTTGTTATATTACATTTGTGTTGTGTTTTCCAAATAGTGTAGAAAATGAATGGTGGGTTTATAATGTTTACCTTTTATGAGCAGGACAGGAAGCAGAGAAGTGTAGCATTACCTCCAAGTAGTTAAACTCATAATTATGAAGTTATTCAACAAGTTCCTCAAGTAAAAAAGTGCAGCTTTTATTTTTTATTTACTTATTTTTTACCAGATTTGTTGATTAATTTCAAAATTATGTATTCCTTCCAAATGTCCAAATCTGAAGAATTTTTTAAACCAATATCTACATTATTTAACATTTAGTTTGTTTTAGCAGTACTTCCTGTTATATTTCTTTATACGTATATTTTACATTTTCTTGCACAGCAAGCTCAGCAGATTTGAAATTGTGTGCTTGTGTACAAGTAGTAAATCTTTACTCTAAACATATATTCTGGTTATTTTTTAGTTAGACCTTCTTGTTTTTATATATCTGTATAGTACCCCCCCCCCCCCCCCCCCCCCCCCAAAAAAAAAAAAAAAAAAAAACACTGTAAATTGATTAGAAATATTAATCATCTGTCAGATTTCTGAGAAAAAAGTCAGAATTCTGAAATTAAAGTCAGAATTTTGAGGAAAAAAGTCAGAATTCTGAGATTAAAGTCAGAATTCTGAGAAAAGTCAGAATTCTTACTTTTTTACCCATGTTAAACTAAAAAAAAAAAATTAAAAATCAGTTAACTTTTTTTTTTCCAGTGGCCCTAATCCTCTTTCGTACAAGACTAAGATGACTAAACCAAAAAGATTCAGTTTCTATATATGAAAGTGAACTGACAACAAAGACGTTATAAATAGGCAGCATCCCGACAGACCATTTTACCTCTTTCACAAGTTTCTGACTTCTGTATCGCTGTTTCCCTCCCTTCTGAGTGCTCAAACACTCTCACTCAGCAGTTCAGAGAGGGGAGGGGGAGTACAGTGACGTAACGCTATGCTGCGCCTTCAAAATAAAAGCACGCTTGTTAAAAAATGTCAAAATCTAATATTTTGCGGTACAATTTTTTGGGGGGGACATATCCACCTGGCTTTTATATTGGGGGGGACATGTCCCCCCCGTCCCCCCCGCTTCCTACGCCGCTGCTGCAAGGCTCTCTTTGCTTTGATTTAACAGAGTGAAATAACAACAAGGCTGATTAAATCCATTACTTTTACCACGATGTTGAGTTGTAATAATTCTGACTGTTGGGGAAAAAAAACTTGTTTTGAATAAAACTGGAAATTCAAATACTATGTATCTTTTGACATAAAATATCATTATAATGCCTGAATAAAAAAAAAAACTCATTTATCTTCTGGTTAAAATTAGGTACAAAAGATGAATTTCAAACCTATTATTCAAAGAAGGCTTTAATCATGAACATTGTTAGAATCCTTACCAAAAATGTCCTTAACATTTTATGAGTTTGCTTTGTTATTCATTCACAGGAGACCACCGACTATGCAAGACCTATAGTGTTTGCTGTGCAAGTGGGATTACAAGATCTGGACCAGGGACCTGTTCTTGATGACAGGTGGCCTGTTGTTGTAAAGACCGAGGTGAGGATACCTAAAGTTGAAGCAATTATGAGATTAAGTCAATGTGAAACGGCTGATAAAATTAGATACTTTATCTCCTGAACAGCTGCCCTTCTGGAATGGCTGTGATGAGGATGACCGCTGCATGCCTGACCTTTCATTGCAGAGCAAAAACGACCTGATGACTCGAAAGTAGGTACACTTACATTTACCACACAACACATAAAGCAGTTGCGAAAAGCCCTGAAGCTGATTTTACTAAAATCTTTTTACTGAAAAATCCCAAGCGCAGACAGACATGGCAAATGCATGATTTTGACTATGAAATCAAAAACTGCTGAGAAGCACTAATGTAGAATCCAGAGACCATCTGATTATAAAGCAGAACCATGAAAACCAGATAGTTTTATAAACAAAGCATCCTTTAGAGTATTTAGATCAAATGAGAAAATAATTGTTTAAAAAATAAAATAAATCCTCTTCCACATTGCCCTGTTATGTCCAAGGTGGACAGTGCACTTATGAGTACGGTTGTTTTTACAAAAACCTAAGCTTTGTCACCTTTCTGCCAAAAGACACTGCCACAAACATATGTATTCAAAGTGGTGTGCAAGAGAGCCTCAGTTGATAAATCAATTTGGTCATCAACAACAATCAGTCCAGCAATTGTGAAAAATGTCAAGACTAATCTGATAATGTCATGTAAGTAAAAAAAAAAGAAAGTAGAATACTATATTGACAAAAGATCCAACAACCCTTAGAAAGCAAAGTCTTTAAAGAAAATATTATTTAAAATTGTGAGCCCATCAAACAACAGACATACTGCATCTTTACACTCAAGTAAACTCCGGCCTCTGTTCTTCGCTTCCAGACAGTTCTGTGCTCGTCCCATGCAATCTCGTGGCCTTTTCTGCCGCCATCAGGGGGGAGCAGAGGCAGAGGGATTGCTGCGGGTGATTGAGGGGAACAAGAAAAGGATGGTGTTAGACGTGAAACTGGAGAACAGAGGAGAAAATGCCTATAATGCTGTCATCAATATCACATATTCACCCAATCTGCGCTTCTCAAGCCTTATAGTCAAGGTATGCCCTCCTGTACAGTATAACTATCCCTTCTTCTGTACAACAAAATCTAAAACATTTACATTCTCTGTTTTAGGACACATCTGAAATAAAGATTGAGTGTAATGCAGTGGACAGGAAAAGAAATGAGAAGATCTGCAATGTCAGTGCACCATTCATGCGAGCAAAATCACAGGTAAGATTAACACAATGTGAATTACTCTTTAACTCCATTCCACTTTGATTGAAACAAAAATGTAAACAATGCTGATTTTTTTTTAGATCACAACTAAGTATATAGAATTTCATATATTGCATTTTGCCTCAAATATTAGCAGAGGATGTTCTTTTTCAGGATATATCTTAAAATTTTCCAATCATCATTTTCACTTACTGGTGAAAAGTAGAAAAATTGCAAATCTTCTTTTGGAAAGTAAGCTTGTATGAATGATGCAAACAGCAACTTTTAAACAGAGCGTGCATGAGGAGAAATGGGCTCGTGCATGCTCTCACACACGTTTAATACGCGTTCCCTCTTGGGAGCATGTACACGATTGAGCATGTGCAGCATATTTAAAGTGCAGAGGGCGGGTCTTTTCAAAAATTTGCAAAAACCCTTCACTATACCTTAAAAAGCACATCCTCCTCTGAGCTTTCGCTTTGACGTTTACACACTCAAAAGCAGCAGATCAGCTGATTGGTGGAACAGAAGGGTGTGTAGGTACTAATGTTGGTACTAACTACTGTAACTACTAAAGCAAATAAAATAATTTTGAAATTAATCTTAAAATATACAGACACCCTCTGTAAGGAGGCTACAAAAGAAATATGGTAAATCCAGGCAATAAATCTAATAACAGCTGATGAATCTGAAAAACACAGTAGCCAGTCAGTTCCTAAAAATATGTTATTGAAAATGTTTTAAAGGCTGATTCTGTTCACAGTAAAGGTTAAAAACTAGACTAAAAATTTTTTGTTTTTGTTATTTCAGATATGCAGTAAATTTTTTAAAGACTGCCTTCTCAAGGATCTAGAGTAAGGCATAGTTCAAGGGTCTAAAGTCAAATTCTTAAACAAAGGCTAGGCTGATGAACATTTAAATCTACAGGGACCAGACCTGAGAACAGACTACTATTCAAATTGATGAGGCTTGAAGGCCTTATAGTAAGAAATAAAAACTGTTTAAATAATGTTAACTAAATGAGATGAGATGAGAAAGTTTAATGTTCTTATTCTGGATTCCAGATTGAAAAAAGAATTCCTTATCTATGATTTCTAAGTCTAGTTTTGCTTAGGGTGAAGTCCAGTGTTGTCAAAAAAGGCCTTCATTGAGACGCTATGAACATGGAATACCTTGCCTGTAACTCTATTCCATTCCTTTGATGGAAAAGTAAAGTGTTTTTCAAATTAATATCTGTCAATGTCTATTTTGAAACCATCAGATTCTAAAAAAATTATCATGTATATTTTTTTTTAGCTTTTTACCTGTAACCTTGTTGCAGTAGCATTAGATATTTACAAAAAGATAGGCGGGTGATTATTCCAACCAAAAGTTGTAAGAAACAGTTTTTGACCTTCCCATGTGATTTGCTAATATGTTGATACATCATATTCATTCATTTATTGAGATTGGCAGATTGGTATTTACCTGCCAGAGGATCATTCCTTTAAATAGAGATCACCTTATTTAAAGGAATAGAGTCATTTTTAGCCAGAAAAAAGGTCAAAGACTCTGATTTCTATTGTTCCAGGTTAAATCATCTGCACTCTCAAAATGGTGTTTGCCAAACACTAGAATCTTGAATCCATTCTCACATTTCATGAATTCGTCATTTACAAAGAAGCTGAGGGATATTTCCATGGGAATTTGATGATGATCGTTGTATGAGAGAACAGAACCAGTGTTTTTGTTCAGAAAATACAGAAGTAGAGCTCAGTAAATAATCAAGTAAAGCTGATTTTAGACAACCACATGTAATCTAATTATAGCAATTTAAGCAACAGTCTTTTTTTAAAAATGATTTATGACTGGAAATATTGTACATGTACCAAAGCAGGAAAGAATATCAGAAAACCTTAAAGGAATAAAGTAGTAATAATGACACAAAAAGGGAGCTTAACAGTCTTCACAACAATGGGAGAGACTTTTAAAGTCACACAAAAATCAATAATTCAACTATCTGTCTCTGTCTGTGGTGCTGTACCAGCTAAAACGTATGGGTTGTGTCCAGTTTTCCACACAGAGCAATCTTTATATTTCACTTTTTTTTTTTCATGGAGTTCTCATGCTCGTTTTATGCATGCATCTTCATGTTTTCCCAGAAGGCCCCAAAGCTTGTATATTAGACAGGGAATGTTTATGGAAATGGTTCTGTTCTGTGTTTCCTTGTAAATGAACTGGCCAACCTATCCAGGTTCTACTCCACCTATTGACCATTGATCTCTGTAGATAAGCAGCCAATCATCCATGATCCTACATGACTACCCTGCTATAGGATAAGGTTGGAATGATAACCTTTTTTGATCACATCTACTTAATGCAAGTATGAGATTTTTTTAGTTTTATTTATACTTTAGATCAGATTTAAGTAATTCCAGAATTGGATCTGTTTGTTTTTTTGTTTTGTTTTTTTAGAGAAAAACTATGAAACATTTTTTTGTTTTTGTTTAAGAATATATTTGAAATTGTGCTCTTTATTTTGTCTCTGGCACATTAGGTGAAATAAAGGCTGAGATAAAATTTTGCCTCATCTGTTTTGGATTTTTCTTTACAATAAATTTTGCTGTTCCTAAGCGAGGCTGTAAAGTCAACAATATTTACAACACTGCCCTGTTTTAGGGAAGAGCTTTAACTTTATTGTATAGAAGGTGATGGTTAGATGAAACTAGATAAGGATGACATCACCTTTTTTATTTCGCTGTTAAAATTTATATCTTTTCATCTCATTTGCTGACTCTGGTCTCCCTTGTTTTCCATAGTCACATAATGTTCTGAGTAGAAATAAGAGAAGGAGTTTAACATGTATTTATAATAAGCAGTTCTCATCTCCTGGGCAACAAAACATCCAACATTTCTCTGCAAGGCCTTCCAACAGCTGAACCAGGAGCACCAGGCCACCCTTTAAATCTCAGAGAGTGATTCATACCCGCTCATTGAGCTGAGCAGCATCCAGAGCCACAAAGCTGGACCGCATTGGTCAATTTCCTTAAAAAAACAACAACTGGTGAATGCAAATAACGATGATTGTACAACTGGGAAGCTGCCAAACTAGTCCAAAATTGTTACTGAATGAAAACTGGAACCTTGACACAAGCTTATTTTTTAGAGAAAAACATTTTTTTAAATCTTTTTTAGTTGCTTGTCTTCAGGGCAGAAAAACAAATGTGCTCTTCACTGTAGAACCATATCCTTATGTTTACGACAGTCTCAGGCTGCTTACCTTGATTGACCTTAAACTAGAATTTTGACGGTCATTAATTTGTTTCTCACTTACACAGCATTATATCTACCTGCTTCCCTCTAGTTTATCATTCCAGTGGGACAGAAGGAACAATTTTAGTTTTCCCTCTTTCAGAAGGAAGTAATGTACAACCTGTTCAGCCTTCTTCATTCAGAGAAATTTGTGTTGAAGAAATTAACCATGGCATAAAGTGACTACCATATTTTCTGGACTATAGAGAGCACCTTAAAAAGCACCCACTAAGTTTTGTTTAAAACTGGAAATATATAAGCTGCACCAGGCTATAAGCCAATGATATCTAATTCAATTCAGTTTATTTGTTTAGCGCCAATTCACAACTCAAAAGCAATCCCTCACACCAAGCATGCTTGTAGTGACAGTGGAGAGGAAAAACTCCCTTTCTCAAGAGCACTGCAATCATACCATCTAAACCTGAGAAAAAATGTAACTAAACAAGGGACACGTAATAAAATCTAGGCTGTTTATTTCCTAGTTAATTGAGATTTGGGGGTTTTTGTATTTGTTTTATATTTTTATAAGTTTAGCTTCTTAAATTAGAAGAATTTGTGTCTTGTAAACCTTTGTGCACGTACAGCTAAACAAAGGGACAATAGATGTTATTTAGGGTTGCTTTTTTTGCAAAGCTAGTTACCCTCTGCATTTAGAATATAGGGGCTTTTCATTAAGCTTTAAAAATGTGGCTGAAAACCGTTATTGCAAAACATGCAGCTATAATCAAAAGCAAAGTTTAATAGTACTGTAGGACAGTTTCTTAAATTAAATAAAAAAGCATTAAAGTCTAATTTGATAGATAAGTTACTGTAGCAATATTTCAAGAAAATGTACCATTTATTAAATGTAGATATATTTTTATACTTATGTTCTTTATCTGAAGTATATATGTTGTTTATATGTTTTGGTCAGCTTTTTTTTTTTCTGTTTGTGGCAATGGATTTGATTATTCGCCTTTTATTTTATTTTATTTTTTTCCCGTTACAGATCTGGCGGTAATGAATGGAAATAACAAAATAGAATAAGACTAAATGATATTCTATTATTATGTGCCTCTCTTTGTGATGATTGAAATAGATAAACAAAGCAGTCGGTTTTATTAACCCAAACGAGAGATGATTAACAAACAGTTTTACATCTAATCTAAATTTCTAGGTGCCTCTCTAGTAGCATTATAACATCTACCCTCTAAAATACCTTTTTTTTTTTTCAAATTGTTAACTTTTACATGCTTAGTTTTTCTTGCCTTTGTTTGTCTGTTTTATTTCAGCATTTATTAAGAAACATGAGTCACTTATATAAAAGATATCAGTTGTAGTGTGCTAATCAAATTTCTTTGGTCTTCTTGATTAAATACAGTAAGATCACCATCTTCCTGCTGTATCTGTGGTTTATCTCGTATGAGCCTCTCCATGCAGGAGGGAAGCTACAGTAACCTTGTTATGAATTCCTCTGTGGTCAGACAGGATCCATCAGGATTTCATTATGGTACATAGGATAGTAAACAGCGTTCAACCCAGCTCTAGTCTGCTTTATGTGCTCTTTGTTGCTGAACAAACCTTCTCTCTTTGTCAGACTCCTGTTTTTACTGAGGATTCTGTCAAGCCTACTTCAATCCTTTATTCACTCATCCTCATTTTTCTCCTAAGTGCAGCTTTTTCTATTTTATCCGTGGAAGAGTTTTTTAAATTCATTGGAACTAAAGGGATGTCCGCCTGCTCACTCTAAGTAGCACCAGGGTTAAATTCAACAAACACAGCAAGTTATTGCAGTCTTTATCCAAAATCCCTCATTCAGCGCATTTACTGCTGAGGAGCATAGACCTGTGAAACAGCTGCTATTAATCTTTTAGAGCTACACGTTCATCTCACTTAATCAGAATATCATTGAAAAGTCGGTTTATCTTCAGTGGTTCAGTTCTAGAAAATAAACTATATAATTAATCACAAAGAGTGTAAATATAAAGCATTTGTGTTTTTTCTTTGCACTGCAAAAAAAAAAGCAAGTCAGGTTTGTATTATTGCAATTCCTATGTATTTTCCCTTGATTTTTGTAGGCAAGTAAGATAATTTTCTAATGAAATAAGATGATTTATGTTTCAAATAAATTAATACATAAATAGAGCTTTATCCTATTTTAAATGACACTGTGCACCCTGGACAGTAGGGGTGGGTATTGGCAAAGAAGTCACGATTCGATTCGAATCACGATTCACATGCCACGATGCGATTCTATCACGATGCATCACGATACTTGAAATATTGCGATGCATTGTGATATTTTCACTGAACACTGTAAGAAAAAGATACAGCCCTTACCAGTGGCTGACTGGCTGGGTGTGATCTGGATAGTGTCTTCAATTGATACATAACTGAAAGCAACTGAATTCATACATAGCTGTATTTATTGAAATTACTTTTGGAGGTGTTGCCATGAAAACAAATACTGGACAGAAATATTACTATCACTGGCATGGACACACCAACAAAAAGATCTTAGGATTCATCAAACTTAAAATAACAAAATGAGGATAATCAGTCCGGACATGCTTATGACAAAAAGCAGCAGGCGTCAACACATCCGCAGCGACATCTGCTGGACTGGAAGTTGTATTCCACTTGGTTTGATTGATGTGCGCCAACCATTAATGTATTTTATTTGTTAATTTTTTTTTTTTTTTATAATCGATTCTTGCCTTCAAGAATCGATTCAGTAGATCACAAAAATTAGAATCACGATTCATCGATTTTACGATTATTTTGCACACCCTTACTGGACAGTTCACCAGTCCCCACAGGGCAACACAGAGACATACAAGCATGAACTTACTCTCACAGGGTCACTAGGTAATTTGGTCACCAGTTGAACTAACAGTCATGTTGTTGAACTGTGGAAGGAAGCTAGAGTACCAAGAGAGAACCCTCAGAAGCACAGGGAAAACATGCAAACTTCATGCAGACAGAATCCAGACCAGGAATTAAACTCAGGAGATCTTGCTGCACGGCAAAAGTGTGCAACTGTGCAGCTCATATCTAAATATGTTGATGGAAAGTTTAAAAGTAGGTCACATTTTGGTCAAGAAAGCTGCTTGGCAAGAAGGTGTAGCCACAGTCATGAGAGTGTTGTGAAGCTCTGCCCATGCATGAGTTTGGTTCAGATTCACAAGTCATGTAATCCTTGGTTTCAGAATAATAACACACAGCGGTATTGTTGACATTGGCTAAAGCTTTAGCATGTTTTAACTTAAGCCATTTCTCATTTAAAATCATTTAGAAATGAAAGTTAAATGCTTATTTACAGTAACTTGGTAATGGAGATCCCACAGGGCATGAAGGAGGAGTGGAGAGGCACAGAATTAAAGCTGAGGTCCAGTTTAAACCTCCACAGTCAGTGTTAGTCTGGGCAGCTTGGTCATCAGCTGGGGTTGGTCAAAAGTCTTTTATCAAGTCCAAAGTCATCAGAGGTTTCTACCACAACAAGTTTAAACAATGTTCATAGGGATGTTGATTTCATTTTTCACTAGGACCATGATTGCCCACATGATGGATTGCACAACCTAAAGGAAAACACGGAGGGAGAAGGGATATAAACTTCCTCAGAAAAACCAGAGGTCTACTGACTCTTTAACATGGGCGGTTCTAGACAGGTGTCAACACTGGGCATTGCCCCTGCAGAATTGGTTCTGATCCCTATTATGGCCGATTTACTGAAGACAAAAAACAATCCAATTTTTATGGTAACTTATTGTACACAAGGACCGTTTTTAACCTGTGCAGTTTCACTTAAACAGTTATATAAAGCTTAAAGTATTTCACTTTTAGCTTCAACTGTATCAAGATCACAGTTTAAATCTGCTAAACCAGAGGTCTCAAACCTGCAGCTCCAAAGGTGAAAGTTGCATTAGCTCCATGAGATTAAATGATAAAATACTGTCCACTTTATTTTTTCATTTTTTTATTCTGTGCTCCCATGAAAAAATACTCTTTACTAAATTACCTTTATATAATAATTCATGTGAAAAAAAAACCTTAGACTTCAATGTTTATAATGTTTCATAGCATAGGCACACTTTTTAGTAAGAAAGCATTTCTGTGCTAATATTTTCCTAATTTGATGTGTGCCAAATTTGAAAAGTATCAAATATTGATGAATTCTGGAAATGCATCACATTGCAATGAAGATATACTATATACATTTTACTTTTGAGATGGTTTTGTTAGAATAAAATATAACAAATTCATATTACATCCCACTTCAATGGGATACAGTCTTATATTTATGGATTTTCTTTTTATTCAAAATTCCTGGTGTAGGTCTTGTTTCGCCTGGAGTTTGAGTTCAGTCGCACCATCTTCCTGGAATACCTCAGAGTTCTCCTGGAGGCAAGCAGGTTGGAACATCACTTTACAGACATTCCAGACATTGTAAAACTTTACTATATTTCTGGAAGACAAAGACCATTAATATTGCTCCTCTCTCCACAGTGATGGTGAAGAAGTGACCATATCTGATAATTTTGATGACATCTATTACTCACTGAAATATGAGGGAGACCTTCTCTTTACCAGGTTTGTCAGAGTGCAAACTTAAAAAAAAAAAAGTTAATGCAGCTGAAGGGATTGTTTTAAGTTACTTTAAACATGGAAGCCAAATATTCATGAAGGCAAGAAAATTAAGGTAAAAATAGAATACACACTTAAAAGAAAAGCTTTTGACACTTCTGTTTTTCTATTCTTTGCCTTGAAAGGGACTCAGATCCAACACGGTATGAGATCAAATCAGAGCTCTCACTGGAGGAGCCTGGAGTTATTGGCCCTCCATTTAACTTCACATTCCAGGTGAGGATGCTTTCTTATCATCCACTGTTTTTACTGAGACATAGAGAAAACAATACCTAGAAATAATCCACATCATTTATTCCTCCCCCTCTCTTTGTATACGAAATTCAGCTCCAGAACCTTGGATATTTCCCAGTTAGAGATCTGCAGCTGAACATCGAGATCCCAGAAATGACAAAAAACGGGAACCAGCTCCTGCAGATATTTAACCTCCATGTTGATCAGGTGAGTTTACAGCCAGGAAGAGAAAGGCAGATAGTCAGGAATAATACGAAGACTGCAAAAATTAAAACATAGAAATAAGAATATAGATTTGTATTATAGGTTTAATTTGGTTTAACAGTTGGAGATCGGTAGCTTGTTAACTCCTCTGTATCTGACAAGGAACTAGTTACTTTGTGTCCTAATTTCCGTTACGTGTTTATGCATTAAATATTTTAATGTAAAGGTAAATTTCAATAATGTTTAAAAGCTAATATTTCAACTAAACCCCAACAGAAATAATGTTTGTATTCCTTCAAAAGGCTAAAATTTTATTGTAAAACTTGATTAGTCCTGATCAAGAGTTCAGATTTTTTTTAAAGACCTTTCAAATTTAACGTTTTGATTCTATACTACTTTTACAGTCATCTTTGCAATCTGATTGAAGAGCTATGACATAATATATTTACACATTTGACTCAGACTTCTAAAGATGTTAGCTTCCACACCGTTTGTTGAATCAGTGAAAATAAACTGGTGCTAGCACAGTTTGACAGACTAAAACATTTTAGTGCCGTAAAGCTGACAATTTTAAATCTAACAGCCTTAAAATGACCAGTTATAATCAGCTGGAGGACATTGCATCATAAAAAGAATAAATTTTTAGAGTAACATTGTTGTAGTCCTTTGCATTGACCGCAGAAGTTTTCATCATGGTCATAAAGGAACTCATGATGAGAGATGAATTCAAGCTTTGCTTATCACCCATGTCTCTTTATAGATAAAGCAGTGTAGAATATATGCTCATTGTATGATAATGAAGAAAATAGCTGCCCAGTCTAAATGAATTACGATGTTAATGTTGAGACCAGTTTTAATGGGGTTCATTAAATTTAGATTACTACCAAACTAGTTGGGAACAAATAATATTATATGATGTACAGCAATATGTTCTTCAAGTGTTTATGCATTGGCCACCTCAGAGTTAAATTTCCCCAGCCCTGCTGCCCTGGGCAAAGAGTCATATACACCATATTAAAAAAAACACAGCTGGCTGCTGTTTGATTTTACTGTTTAATAGCTTATAATGCTCCAAGACGCTAATGTCTTGACTCAACTGGAATCATATGAAGGTAGATTTCTGTCTGTATTATTCAAATAAAAAAAAATGGTTGATTCAATCAAACAAATATTTTCAATTAAAAACACTTTCACTTGAATGAAAAAAACCTTTTCAATAAAAAAAAAAGTATTTGAATGCAGAAAATATAGTTGTGACTCAAATAAATGATTTGAACACTGCTTTTCTTTGATTGAAAATGTTTTCTTTGATAGAGTTTTTGACTTTTTTTGTTTAGAATAACTTTTTTAATTGAAGTAACGTTGTTTTTTGATTGGACCATGTAATGGGTAGGACGTTTGTATCTTTATCATTCAATCAAAAAAGAAGTTGCTTCACACAAACAAACAACGTAATTTCAATGAAAAGATAAAGTTTTCAATCATACAAAAATAGTTTTGAATTCAAATAAAATTTTTGAGACTCCATAAAATTGCCCAAATCTACCTTCATAGAATCAGAGAAACAGGTATTCCAGTTTTTCTTTAAACCAAACATTGACTAGTTTATGGTCAGTTTACTGTAAATAAAGAGCAACAAGTTCATTGTTTCTCTAATACTAATGGATTGCTGTATATTAAACCTTTACTTTAACATCCCAACTCAGAGAGATGGAACACGCTGTTTACCACCCCAGCATATCGCAGAGAGCAGAGCTTCACCTGAGGATCTCTCCCGCTTCTCCCGCTTGGTAATGTAAAAAGAACAACAGTGAAATCATTCTACTATAAGCAGTTTTAGTTTCAGCTTTGTCATGGGCATTATTTTGTTTCTCCACACAGAACCGATCCAACACACTCACCTTGCCAATCCAGTGCACAGTTAATGTCCCCTCCCACAGAGATGTCTGGGTTCGAATCACAGGAGCCCTGAGAATAGACACATTACATGCAGTAAGCTTAAACCTTGAAAGTAATACCAGATTAGTTGTCATCATATTGTTTGCTGTTTCAACTCTGATGTGACACTTGGTGGTGAAATAGTGGCTGTACAGTATGCTTTTATTTCATCTCCAGCTGAAGTTTAAAGTCCTGGAACTGATAACAAGCGCTTCAGTGGAGCTCCCCTCTGCCAGCCCCATGTTTTTACATGAAGAAAAGCCTGTCAGACATGTGAGTCAGCAACCATTATTGCTGGAAACCACTTGTGTCCTGTGTTTGACCTGATTCAAGCTGCTTTCTTACAAGCATCATTTGAATTATGATCATAACTTCTGGTCATTTTGATGTTATGTTTGTCAGAAAATCACCCTTAAAAAATAAGAAAAGGATATACATTTTTTATCAACACATTTTACAAAAAATAAGCATTTGATTATTTTAAATATTTGCATTTTAACTTTAAGAAAGTATGATTAAAAAGAGTTATAACCACACACTAAACTTAACTCTTTGATCAAAAATGCTTCATGGTGCGGAGGGACCGAAAGGACCAACAGCAAATGCTGTAAAAATATAAAATTAAATCTTAAACTTTGCTGCCATCTACTGGTCATAAGATATATACCTTAATATGTCATATTGAAAACCCAGAGGCAGTTATAGTTTTATTTATCTTACATTAAAATATTAATGAGATTTCTATACACTCACAATAGAGAGAAGGTAAAACTCAAAATGATTTCCATTTAGCAAAAATGTAATATAAGCTTTTGTCGGATAGGTTTAACAACTTACTGTAAACAGAAGGCACTACATCAAGGCCTATTGTCAAGATCTATTGTATTATTGGAAGAAATAACTAAAAGACTGAGCCCTGCTGGGAATTGGCTATTATCTTCAAATAGTGCTGGTAAATCTTGCTTTACAACTTAAATTTATTACATCATTTACACAACAGGATATTTCTACTAATTGTATTGTTTTTTATATGAAACATCAAGGCACTACAATGTAATTGAACCTGAGTTCTTGTAAGATAGGGTGTACATTTTCTGATGCTTTCTTGCAGATAATCCTGGAGATCAGGAAGGAGGGAGATTACAGAATCCCTACCTGGATAATTGTTGGCAGCACGCTGGGAGGGCTCTTATTGTTGGCTCTTCTCAGTCTGGCTCTGTGGAAGGTAAGTTTGTCCACAGGCATAGAAGTATATAATGCAATTTATCATCTCATATTCCACTTTATAGCTTTTCTTGAGCTGAAAGAACCTGAAGCCATTTTTATAGTTATTACACAATAAAAATGGATTGTACTTAAAGGTGAAGATCTCAAATTATGAATTGCTATTCATTTTTCGGTGACGCTGTGTTAGCTTTGGGTGTTGATGCTGGTCATCCAGGTCATAGTCATTCAAAAAAAGTCAAAAAACAATCCACTGGACTTTGTTCCCAAGTTTGAAGAAGTTTCGCTTCCCATCCAGGAAGATTTTCAATTCAAAATGTCAGAAATACCGTTGCGTTCAAGGTTTTATACAGTAGCCCATCAAAACCTTGTTTTTGTTTAGAAAACATGCAAAATGAGACTGAAGCATGGGTCCACTCCTTTGGAATGGGGGTCGTACGACTCCTCTTTCAGCGACTTAGACGGGTATGGGGCATTGCAGGCTAACAAAAGAAACCTAATGATCCCTGTTAATTTTTTAGTTAGGTTATTTACTTTGTGCTTTTTTTGTCTGCATTGTATGTTTCCTCAAAAATAGTGCAAATTTGCTTCATAGCTGATGTCACAAAAAGTTTCACCATGCATATATCGTTTTTGTGACCTTGTTTCTTTGCATGACGTATCTTCCATGCAGCTTGGGTTCTTCCACAGACAGAAGCGAAAAGACAAGGAGGAACAGGAGGCCAACGGGAAAGTAGCAGAGGAACGGTAACCCTGGCTGTGTCGTGCAGACACCTTTTCCACAGGGGACGAGACTCTCAGGGACCACCCCACCTCCACTGCTCGCACAGTGGCTGTTACACAGACAGAGCAGCATCTCTGCTTATGCAAGGCTTATTCAGTGCACTGGACCTGTCCCATGTCACCAGCCTCTGACCCTCGTGTCAGCACTGTCGCACTCACTCAGCATTCTTGCACTGGTACAATATTGGTCCCACTTTTTATCTCTGTATTCCACTGCCTGTGGTGTCGTCCCTCCACGGATCTTGGAGCTGTGGTGATTTTTATTCTTCCTGGCCATATGTTAAAATGAAGGGAACCATCTTTATGAATTTGGCTCAACATATTTGTTGATATTTCCTTTTTGTTTATATTTATTTAATATTAATTAATCTTTTAGAAGAGTTTGAACCAAATAAAACACCTCATGGATGACTTTCTGCACAACTGATGATGCAGATTTAAAGGGTATTATAATAATACCTTTAAAGTTGCATCATCAGTATTAATCTGCCTTGTGCTTAGGTGTCAAAGCTTATGAAAAAAGGAAAATAAGATGCATGACTTTGAGCTTTCAGATACTTTTCTCTACTTATAAAAAGGATGCTCCTGAATGTCTTCTTTTAACAGACAAAAGATATTTTTTTAACATTTTTGATGCACTTTTTTTTACATCTTAAAAAGTTAACTTGAACTTGTAAATAACCAAGTGCCTTTAAAATACCCCTGCAGTACCTTTTTTTTTTTTTTTTTACATATTTTATATTAATATAGCATTCCTGTTTTAAGTTAAGCAAAAAAAAAAACTCGACTTTATGCTACAAAATAATAACTTAGACGGTTTCATGCTTTTTATTGTGCACTGCATCAGAGCAAAGTATGCATGAAATACTAAATAACAAGCAAGTGGTTTAATTAAGATTAGAGAAAACACATGTGGGTCGGTGTTTTATATTGACACGTTGTGAATAGATGTAATATGGTCAAAAATAAAACATTTATAATGTTCCTATTTGTCTTTATTCATTATCTAAGGAGTTACAGCATCTCATTGGAATGAAAATGTTCCTATTATAATTTTCAATTAGCTAACTCCTAAATCAAGCTTTATTCAAAGTGGTACAATATGGAAGGAGAGCTTGATGTGGCAATAGGTTTAAGCATTACAATGCTCCGATGGGAAAGTTAAACGTGAAGTTTCTTGTCAATTTTAAATCTGTACTAGTTATGAAATTATACCATGCAGTACGATAATACAGTTGTTTGCATTAAAATTTAACAAATTCCTACCATTATTTTTGAAGAAGTTCATACTGAATGTATTCAGTTTTAGAAACTCTTGGTTGCAGAAACTGTGATAACTTGACGTCATGTTGAGAAATGTTTTCAGCATCAGCCTAAATATATTTTGAAAAACTTGTTACTTTATTTAAGAAAAAAAAAAAACTGTAACTTTTTATTCGTTTCAAAGACGGTAATGATGGACAAAGATTGTATGTGCATCCCCTGGAAAACATCTCTTGAACTTGATCACAATCTGTTCAACCTTCCTTGTGAAGTGTAAGGAAAGTGGCAAATTGATTTTTGAAATTTTGCTTAAAATACTAAAAGAGTTTGATACCCCTAAATGAAATCCAAAGGAACTCTATTGAAAGTAATCCCCTGAAAACAAGATGAGTTAACCTAAACATAGCAAGACATGGTCGTCCACCCAAAGAGACGGATAGAGCACAAGAGGCCCATGGTTACCCTGTAGAGTTAAAAGGATCCACAGCTAAAGGAAAAATATTAGTCATACACAATTCTTACCTTTTCTGAAGAATGGTCTGGTGAAATACATGTTTGTATAAGACCCCATAAATATTACCATCCGCAGCTGGCTATAGGCTAAATTTGAAAGAGGGTGCTCTGGAGAGATGAGACACCTTGCATCCTACATGCAAAACACATCATTCCCAAGGTGAAAAAGCATAGTAGGGGTAGAATGATGCTGTGGTGATGCTTTTCATTTGAAGGGAGATACTGTAAAAGTTGGTCAGAGTTCATGGAAAGATGGACAGATACAAGATGGTTCTGGCTGAAAACTTGTTGGAATCTGTGCGATACTTAAAGCTCTTGATAATGGGATGCAATTTTATGTTACAGGAGAACACTTACATCTGACTGAGTTTGACCTTTTCTGCTTAATTAATATGCAAAAATGCTGATTTATGAGTGGAAAAGCTGGTAGAAATATATAGATGGTTTAACATACTACTCACTTATGAGGACGAGGGAAAAATGCACAGAAAGCGTCCACAACTTTTTGCAAATCACAGTCAAATAAAAATATGTATGTGGTTTGGAAATTCAAAGGGGAGCATGAGTTCTCAAGGTATCTGTCTTTTTCATAAAATACCAAATAGTCGAGGTTAATCTTCCTGAAAATAAAGTATTTGTGTAAAAATACTGGCCTGTTCCCTTGCTGTCTATTTAATAAAATACATCCTGAATAAAATAATTTAAAAAAGTCAAATTATAGGTTCCAAGAAATTATAATATAAAAGTAAAGTCTCTTAACAGAGGTTAACCCAGCAGTTAAGTGCACCACTGTGATTATATGACAGAATGTCAATAAATATCAAAATGTTAAACAATAAAAGGTTAAATCTACTTCAGTCCCCAAGAATAAAATGGACTGAAGACCAATAAACACAACTTAGAAGAGCTGAGAGCTGCAGATGTTGGATTGTAAGTGAGAAGGAACTCATTCTGATGTAAGCATGCATCATTTTTTTCCAAAAGGTTGAACTACTGCAATTGTTTTTGTCCACCGTAACAGGGTTTTTGAGCATGAAGGCAACCATTGATCAAATCGACAGTATTATCCTCGTGGGGGTTTGAAAATCGCTTGAGAAGGGATCTGCTCTGAAGATACAAACTTGCTGGCTAATTTACTTCACAGCATGATTTTCTCCTCCTGCTAAACACACGCTTTAAGGAGAAGAACAATTGTCAGATTCTAACCATAACATTAAAGAAATGCATGTCCTGATGTCAAATAACTATATACAGACTCCATATTTTCATATTTTTCTTAATGCTTTAGCAAACTAAAGTACATATAAAATCATTGATATTTATGTAAATATTCTGATATGACTACTGTATTTATGATCCCTCATTTTAGTGGTTAGATCATACATTCTGCAAGCAACCAAATCCAGTCAGATTTTTGCAGTTAGTTCTAAAAATAATCCTTTCTTACCTTTTTTAAGTTATGAAATGCTGTTAGGTGAAGATGCACAAGCAACATATCCAATTACAGCTATGACATGTCTATGTTTAACTCATAAGGCATGAGCAGCTGATGGGTTCAAGAACCACCAAACACAGACAAATGAAAATGGGCCATGACAGTCACAAACTATTACTGAATCTGGGACGTTAACAGAGTCACAGATTGAACTCTCATATATGATGTATGAAGTGAAGAAGGACTGGGCTGTTTGGACAATAGACAAAAATCCTCCTTGCAGATGAAGGTTTTTGTTTTGTTTTTTTAACCTAATCTGAGTTTGAAAAGGTCCAGAAGAAACTTCCCAAAGCCAATTCAAACATGGATCACCCTTTTGTTCGTCCTCTGTGTTTGGGTCGGTACCAGTGTGGCAGTTTACAGGGACATTTTTGCCACAGTTGATTCTTAAATTCTTCTAACAAGCTTTATGAAGATGTTGATTTGATTTTCTGCTTTCCCCTCACCTCGCTTGGGATAAGCCTGATGGAAAATGGATGGATGGACTTCTTACTTTTGATTACCGGAAAAAGGGCAATACTGAATTGAATTACCAAGATATGCTTTATCAAGAATTAACCCAATAAAATAATGTCCAGATGAACATTAAAAACACCAGACCCAATAATCCAAGCGATCTAGAACTCCTTGGTGGAGACACAGGCTGGTTGTCCCAATCTCATGTATCAGTGATGCTGAAAATTATGCAAAAGGAAACCCAACTGGGTACCGAATGCCTACAGCGCATCAACAAACTTTTCAGTCAGGCCAAATTCCTGTATTTAAATCAAATTTAATCCATTATATGGAATATTCAAATTTTATTAGAAATTGGGTTTAGTTTTCATTTGCTGTCAGCTGCAGGCCTCGAAATAAGCAGAAATGAACCTTTAAAATGTATACCCACCTGTATAAGTTCCTAAATAAGTATTTTTTTTCATGTTTAAAAATATTTGACCATTTCAATCATATTTTGTTTATAAGCAGGTCTACATGTGTTAAGGTGAAGTATGCATTTATTTAAATCTGATGTTAAGTTGAACATCTGCAATGTGCCACTATAGCATGGTTTTCTGTATTGACATAAGCTCACCTGTAAGAGGCATTGTTTACCAAACACATATCTCAAAAAATCATTTTGCATAAAAGGACATTTTTAACCTCATAAGTTTGACAACTTCTAGTATAATAATTTACTTATTTAGTGTCTTAAACATACATTTGTATTTACAGATTTTTATAAAACAACAGCAGAGCTGAGATTTAATTAAGTAAATTCTTTTTGGCCATAATAAATAAAGTCCTGACCAACACATCAGTCTTTTTAGGCTTTTTAAATGATTGGTAATGCCAAACGGCTTGCACCATATCTTTTGACCTTGCGGATGGATTTCTACAATCACTTTGTGCAGTTTTCCCAGAGGTACCAAATTGATGCTGAAACAATCATCCCATCAATGCCATTAAACCTTTCCAGGTATTCCTCAGACTCTGTATACAACCTTAAGCTAAACAGAATGAGCCATGGTGCGAAAATGGCATTCCTCGTTTTAAATAAACAACTATAATGGACTACAGTAGGTTTCTTTGGGCAAAGTCTTTGGTGTGATGGAGAGCACATTTGTTTCTGTCTATCTGACACCTGCAAACTGTTATGCAACCACAGTTATTGAACATATTGATCCTGCGGGGGAGGGGCTTTCTGTCAAGGTATAGTGAACAAAATAATGACAGAACAAATATGTGTCAAATATGTTTCATTAAAGAAATAATCAAATAATGGTTGTTCTGCCTGTAACATAGGTGTAGATCATAAATGTGTGACATGTTTTGCTGCTTTCATAGAAATATAGCTATAAAAAGGTAGTCCCAATGAAAATTTAAGAATTTTCTGTTGTGATAGGTTAAGATAAAATGTTGCTTTTCAGCTTTTTCGCTTTGTGACCAGATTTAAATTTAAAATTGGTAGATCTATCTGACCACAAGAGCATCTTAAGATGTGAGTTAATCTTTGTTATCAATAGAATAGAATAGAATAGAATAGAATAGAATAGAATAGAATAGAATAGAATAGAACAGAAAATCCCTTTATTGTCCCACAAGGGGGAATTGTGGACAGATGACTATGTAGCATTTCACATAAAATAACAGAGATTAAATTTCAAAATGTCCTACAGTTAGGAGGTTAGGGGATCATAATTCATGTGACTGAAATATCTCATCTGAAAACATTTGCTTTGGTGAATTAATTCTCCGAGTGTGCAAAAGTTTTTATCATCCCACACATTTTTTTTTCTATATTATGTTCTCAGCAAGCAACCCTTTTCTGGATTTTTCATGATTTAAATCTGTTTTTCAGCTTAAAAAAGAGCATATTGAATGACTGTCTGAGAGAAAACTCAACGAAATGCTTGACAGACCAAACAGATGCATCAGCTCTCAAAGGATAATTACCTGAATAATTGAGTGCTTTATTTTACCTGATAGTGATTTTCTACCCATCTGTCTAAACCTTTTTTTTTTTTTTAAAGATTCAAACAAAAATAGGAATTTTTAAGAAACAATGCAGCAGAAGTGTCCAACAAACACTGCAAATTATCTCTTTGCTTATATTTCTGTTATTAGAGAATTTAGAGTGCTGCACATTTTCCACATTAAGTTATGTTACAATCCTATTTCAAATGATATAGCATAAATCACTTGAGAATTGGCCAAAGTGGCTGTGGAGCTTCTTTTTTTTAATTCAGGAATCTTTGATTACTATATCTGTAATATATTCATGGGGCTGCACATTGGTGCAGTGGTTCAGGGTTCATACAGAGTGACCATATGGTTAATGGTCACCGCCCTGACTGAGGGACTTTTTCTCTCCCTGGTATCTGTAGATGATTGCTTTAACTTGGTGTTTGCCCTCTAATAAGCACAAATCTAAACTCCACAGACAGACTCCAGTTAAGCTGTAGAAACATCTGGAGGAAAAAGTTTGGACCTCAGTTTAATTTAGAGTTTCATGGCAAGGACTGTGAAGTCTTAAGTAAATCTGATGTCTATCTTTTTTATTTTCTTGATAAATTTGCCACAATCTCAAAAATGCTTTTATTCTACATTATTTTAACTCTGTATTGGGTGTAGATATTCTGGAATAGAAAGTAATTTTAAAACATTTGGAGGAATATAAATGAATGTGGAAAAAGGGAAGTGCTTTAAATACATTTTGGACGGTCTGTGGACTCTACACTGGTTCATCTACAGTATCAATAATGGTAGTTAAATAGCTCTGGTTCATCCCTTGGATTAAGAAGTAAATTAAATATCAAAGTAAAGTTATCAAAATAAGTATTAAAAGAAAAATAGTTTTGCCACTGGGCAGAAGTTAAGCTTTTAAAACCTCAGGAAAGCCTGAAGAAATAAAAAAATTGCTTTCCCTGAGGGAAAGTCTGCAGCATGGTAACACACTCACACATGTACTATAAAAAGTACTGTGTAATGGTATTAGCTGCAACATAAAGAGGCTGAAAGTCTACATGTTTAAGTCATCCCATTAATCTTCAGTTTTAATAAAACCAAGCTAATTTGAATTGACTGTGTTTTTCTGAACCTCCTCATTAAACAAGCTTATTAACCCCCTCCTCACTGACACCAGGCAAACAGACCAGACAGGCAGAATCTCAGCTGCTTGAAGAAGCAATAGAAAGAATGGAACAAATGCTCTGACCAGTGTTTTGTAATCACAAAAAGAACCACGATTCCAGTAATCAAAGGGTTACAAGGAAGATGGAGGGAGGAAGGGAAACATTAGACCTGATTGCAGTCCAAGCCAGCTGCATCCAGGTGGCTCTCTTACCTCCGGGCTTTCTAGTGGGCAGGTTTTCTTTAATTGTCTGTGGAGGGTCTTTACTGCAGCCAAAACATGACAGATGAATATTTATCAGCTACTATCTCCCCTTTGGGTTACTCACATGCTATTCAGATGAAAATCATTTTCCAATTGTTATAGTCTATCTAAAATTCCATTATGTTCTTTTTTTATTATTTAAACAATCATCTGCACAATACGGTCTTGGAGAATTATAGCTGACATTTGCATTTAAATAAAAATGCAGATTATTGTAAATTATATATTCTGAAATAATTTATAAGAGGTTATACCAATATTAAGTTTCCCAGCTACCACCAAACTTTTATGAGCATACATTCAACTTGTAGGTTTTGAATTTTTTAAATAGAAGCAGGAGGGATTTATTTTTCATTTATTCTAGCCAGATGATTGGTCGAAGGACACTGAAATGTCAGAGGAATTGACAGAAGGTCATTTTTCTTGGTAGGAAATAAAGCCTCTCAGCAACCAGAACCTTAGGGTGAAATATGGTGGCCTTGCACATAAAACTTTCTCTTTTTTTCTTATTTTTTTGCACTTCTCATTGTTTATTTTTTTTACATTCAATCAGCCAACTTCTCTAAATGAGCAAACTTTTACAATATTCAAATAAATGCTAATGCATGTCATTCTAGTCTGGACACAGAGCATTTTAGCTCGAGACATTTAATATGATATATTAATCACTTTAAATATTCATTTTTATTCAATTTATAATTTTGAAGAGTTATTTAATTACCTTCATGCCACCACAATATATATATTTCTCTGCATGCTTTCCGGTTCTTTTTTTTTTTTTTATTCTCCATGTACAGCACTTTTCTTTGCTTCTTAAATGTGCTGTGGAAAGAAACTTTGCTTTGCAAATCCTCACTTTTAATTATTGGAACACAGGTTAGGTTATCAAATAAAAGAATATATTCTAACTGCAACTGAAGAGAGAAACATATGGATCGTTAGTTGCATTTTGGAGCCAGGGCAATAATGTTAAGATTCTTAAAAAATAGAAACAGATTTCACATCCACAAATAATACAGTACACCATCCCACTTTGTGTTTATGGGGAGCTAATTATGAAACACCCTTACTGTTATTAGAATTATCATGACCATAATCATACACTGGAAAGCTAATATATAAATGTAATTATCTGGTAAGAATCATCAGCCACCTCTTCCTTAGATGGAAAAGCGATTTATTTATAGACAGGCTTTATTATAGACATAATGAACATAATCATATGGTGAGTACAGAGTGCAAATGACCGACTCATATCCTGTGAGCCAGACTCTGTCATTAGAACGAAAATATGAATCTCATAGAAAATTCACAAGTAAACAGTTGTAGGGGCTCAGCAGGTTTCACATTAAGTTGTCACACATGGTATGAAATAGCATATTGATTTGTTCTGAATTACGCACGAGCAATGGCAGCTGATGGAGAAAAAGACAGCACCTTTGCGCCCATGCTGCATTCAGTGTGTAAATGGGATGGTCTTAGAACTTGAAGGGCCTTTGCGGTCTATGATGGACAGCGTGTAGTCCGTGTTGTCCATGATTTGGAGAGGTACCACTCCATGGATTTCTGCGTGCGTAACGGAGCGCGTCGTGCACGCTTTGCTCTTAGCGGGACTGGAGACTCTCCAAAACAAGCCGCTCAGCATCTTCCTGATCTCCGGACGCATCAGGCAATACAGGATCGGGTTCAAGCAGCTGTTTGTGTGTGCCAAGCAGACAGTGACCGGGAACACGTATGTGTGCACTGTGTAATATGATGTGTCCCAGTTGGCCGCGTTAAATTTCACCAAGACCCCCCAGAAGGTGATGGCGTGATTTGGCATCCAGCAACAGAAGAAAGACAAAACGACTATAGCAACAGATTTGGTGACTCTGGATCTACGTTTGGGGTTGCTGCTGTCCATGCTTTTCCGTCTCACAAAGCGAAGCAGCATCAGATAATTAATACAAACTATGAACATCGGAATAATGAAGGCTATTAATATTTTCTGGATGTGGTAAAGAGCGAGCCAGTCGTGTCCCTCTGGAAACCTGAGCAGGCAAAGCTTTTCTCCAGCGACCACAGTCACTGTGGAGAAGATAGCTGTGGGAGCCGTGGCCACGGTGGCGGCCAGCCAGAGCACCGCGCACACCCACTTCACGCACCGTGACCTTCTGTAGGACCTTTTCTTCAGGGCTGAAGCCACGGAAAGGTAGCGGGTCACGCTCATCGCCGTGAGAAAGAAGACGCTGGCGTACATGTTCATGACGGTAACTGACAGGACGATTTTGCACATGGCGTCTCCGAACGGCCAGCTGAAGTCCAGAGCGGTGTCCACGGCCCAGAAGGGCAGCGTGAGGACGAACTGGAAGTCCGTAACTGCCAAGTTGGTGATGAAAACATTTATGGTTGATCTTTTTCTACCCTGTCTCACCCTCATGAGGAAAAACACCAGAAGGTTTCCCACCAAGCCCACGGCGCACACCACAGAGTACACCACCGAGATGAATATCCTCAGGATGGGAGAGCCATCAGCGCTGACGTCGATGTCCTCGAAAGTGAACTTGTCATCTCCAGGGGAACTTTGGTTCAGCGCTGCGCTATGATTGAAGATTTCATCCATCTTTGAAAACGCACATCTGCCCTGAAAGGCATCCAGATGAGGCAGACCATGTGCTCTCCCTCAACGCCCTGTCATCCTCATCGCCTTCTTCTGACTGACAACTGACCTGGAATCCGCTTTTATACAGGTGTGTCCCTGCGCTGCTGCGCCACGATTGGTCGACCGGAGGAAAGAGACATAGACTGTCCCGTGTTAGAAATGACTGTAACGCCTCGTCAGTCAGTGAATAAAGTCGGTGTGGTTAAGAATAAACAAAAAAATATATGTTATTATTCCATTTAAGACAATTTGGAGGTTCTCTGTATGGATGCGCTGCGCGCGCAGGTCGTGCGTAAAAAGCCAAAATGAGTATGTGATGGAAGCAACGTCACATATTCGAAGGGAATGTAAAAGTGGATTTCAAATACTAAAACCTTGCTGTTACTGACATCTGCAATACACCGCAGAGATTACTGTAGACGACACTCTTTTGATCCTGTTTCTGCTGGCGCACGCACGGCTCTGCGCGGCACCTCTGCTCTGTCAGCAGCAGCATCTATTAAAGTGCTAAGTGAAAAATGTCTAAGAGTTTCTGTCACTATGCATGCACAACAATTGCATGAAGAACATTTATTCTGATGTTGTCCTAGTGTCATTTTTACTCCGCAAGAGGGGGCGCTAATCTTAGTATTTAGTGTCCCCTTTGCAAAGATCTGGTTTTGCTTTCTGCTACAACTTAATATTTCAGATGAAAGACAAATATTAGCCTATTGTATACAAAATTCAGTTTTTAACATGTAATTTCAATCCTCTAGAAAAAAAAAAAAAAAAAAAAACCCAGATCTGACTGTATATTAATTTGCCACACAGTATCATCCATCAGATTTTTGTGAAAATAAATTAGTCTTTTTATTTTTTCTAAGTGTAAGAATTTTGGCTGATTTTTCTCTTCAATATAGTTTAAAATAATAATAATTTTCTACCAATTGTCAAAGAACGCACACCTAAATAAATCTGTAATTGTCTCCTCTATTTAGGCCTTACAACCCTTTAGAGACCACGAGATGCCAGAGTATTTTTCTCTTTTTGAAAAAAAAAAATCTTCTGATGATCCTTGATTTGTTGGTTTTTGAGATATTTTTTCCCTTGCACGGTTTGGAGAGCTATCTGCCATCTATCTGCAATGAATGGTGAACTTAAAAAGAACTAATTAACTGCCTTAACTTTTGTATGAACATCTAAGTACTGATAAAACAGGTGTGACACCAAGCAAAAGAAATCTGGAAAAAAACAACAACAAAAAAAACATCAAAAACAAGTTTTTCCATGTCATCTAAAATGAATCTCAGTTCTCTTTCAATTTGTTGATTTTAAACAGGCTTTATTTTTATATCATTTGATAAATGGTATAGTTTTACATTTATAAATGAAAGTGATATCATTAAACTGTTTTTCATAAATGTTTTATTTGTGTTATAATCAAGATCTCTGAGCAAAAATTGAGCCTATGCTTATTTTGATTCTGGAAAACATTATTTTATATCCCAACTCTCACATCCTTCACATCTAGCCCTGGGAAGCTATTTCTGTTACTTAAGTCACCCAGCAGCCAATAGCAATCAAGATTCTCCTTTCTAAGCTGACTCCATCATAGTCCATATTCCACCTTCCAGCCAAGCTGTAGAGCAACTCCTCCTTCTTCACTGCCTTCTTTAAATTTGCATGTTTTCTAAACAAAAACAAGCTTTTGATGGGCTACTGTATAAAATCTCGTACTCAACGCTATTTTTGACATTTTGAATTGAAAAAGCTTCTTGGATGGGAAGTGAAAGGTCTTCAAACGTGGAAAACAAAGTCCAGTGGATTTATTTATTTATTTTTATTTTACTTTTTTGGAATGACTATGACCTAGATGACTGAGAACCTTCACGTGAAAAAATAACACTATGTTAGAATACAAATATAATCCTACATCTCCCCTTTCACACTTACCAGTGATCTGTCAAGCATTTTCTTGGTAAGTTTCTGACAACAAGCCTCAGTAAACTAATAATATGTAAGATCTCAATTAACTGAGCGGAAACTTTTCTACAGAATTTTGTTCAGAAGTTTGGTTCAGACCTGAGAAGGACAAAAAATAATGTTGCCTAATATTGTTTTGTTTTTTTTCTGATCAAAGGAACAAATCTTTGAGGACCTCAGGGGTCTATATTGTTCAGTATTTTCAGAGTATCTAAAGAATTAATTTTGGTCAATAAAAAATAAGTGCCTGCATACCAATAGCAACATTGTAACATGTATAATTGTAATAAAAGGGAGTCATTTCTATTATATAATCTATATACCTGGTGATGGTAGCTATGTTTTTTGGCTGAGGTAGGGCTGCCCAACTGACCAGCAAAAACACAAATAATTCAACCTAATGATAAAATATGCAGGTAGTATTTAGTCAACCATAATGGACCCAGAACCATTTCAAATTCAGATTGCCTGGGTTTGTGATGATCACATGATCATCAGAATAGGCTTTAATTAAAATTGTTATAAAAATGGGAAACAAATTTTGAAGAATTAGTTACCATTATAAATAAGTGTATCTGAATGATTGACACATTTATTGACTCTTTCACATAAATGTAAGCTATGAATAATTCTCTGAGTAAAAAGTCAGAAATATAGTTTAAAAAATCTGTTAACTTTTTAAATTTTTTCAGTGGCCCTAATCCTCTTCCGTAGTTGATCGTCCACAAAGTGTAGAATATTTTCTCCGATTTTAAGTGAATGCATCAGGGCCTGAACGGGTCCTCATCTGACCCACTGAGAACCCGGCAGACCTCAGCCTTCCAGGGTGTAGTTTGCATGCAACTGGGTTGTTTGACTGTATCCGATTTCTTGGTGCAGCCATTCCCCTTTAAGCCTGTGCTCGGTCCTTGAAGAGTCAGCCTATTGTCTGAAAGTCCTCCCATCTGTGGGGGTGGCTCTGCAGAAGTTTGCTGAGGAAAAAAGTTTTCAAGCTGTCACTGGTCGTCGGGGGGAGACTGATGGAGGACAAGAGGACCAGGCAGACATTAGAGTAGTCAGAGTTAGATTGCACCCAGAAGCAGTGGGCTCAAATGATGATCAGGGCTGTATGGGAGACCTTTCTTAGGACTGTGACAGCTGGAGCGCACGGTCCAAGCCAGGCGACGCGCGCATCTAACTCTGATGGACTCAATCTGAATTTACCGCCCTGGAGGTGTTAGAAATAAAATTCATGTTTCTAACGCACAGGTACACGTCCTGACAAAATGATCCGTTCACAGTGGAGGCTCCATGCTGCGGGACAAAGAGCGTCTCCCATTCAAGTCCTCGTCGCGCTTCTTTTGGTGCTGGAGATTTGCAAAACCCTTGGATCCCCTCACGATCCAGGTTAGTGATCCCCCCCACTCCAGACTGTTGAAGTCACGTATTTATCTCAACAAGACCTCTAGTGTGGTGTCTGTCTCTGTAGTGCTCATTTGCTCTGTGAGTGCATCTAATTAAAGCCAGAGAGGGCAGTAATTCTGTCTGTGACTAGAAGCCGGCTGTGGCCACTGTTTACAAAGTTTGTAGCTGACCATAGCAATTAGAGACATTTAGTGAGCTCAGGGCAGCAGCTCCAGAGATCTGCTCTCTAATGAACCATGTTGTCCCATCTGTCTGCATTCATTCAACACAAAACCTCAGTGCTGTGCTGCTGCCTTGACTCCGACCTCTGACCTCTAATGTCAGCAGCAGGAAACTGCAGCTTTACTCTGGGAATTTACAGGATGCAATATCCACAGTATTTTTATACCCAAGCTGGTTCCCAGTGTCCTGCTGCATGGAGACATCAGCATCTGATATCTGGTAGAAAACACTCCCACAGCTCCCCCCCTCCACCTCTATCCTTTCAGTAATTCCCTTAGTTTATTATTTTAAATGCAAACAACCAAAACTCCCCCAAGGTTAGGGAATCAAATGCCTGTTTCAATGCGTTTTGTTTACATCAGATGCATGAGCCAAAAATAAACCATTGGTTCAAGACAAAGATGGGATCCTGAAGAAAGAAGTAACTTGAATAGTAACAAAACTCAGTTGGTAAACAATAGTACAATAATTTAAAATAGTAATACATTTTTTTAACAGTCCAAATTAACTTTTTTTCTTGTCCCTACTTTAAAAACAAAAAAACATTGCATATGAAAAGTGTCGTTGCCCTAAAATGATGTTTACTGATTTAAATATGATGGCTTAAAGCTGAAGTCTGTAAGTTTTTAAAAATCACTTTTTTGTCATATTGGCTAAAACTGTCCCTATGCCCAGACAGCAGTACATGTGATATGTAACCTGTGAAAAAAACTGCTTCAATTGGTACCGCATACTGCCTGTATTTCACTCTGGAAAGAATAATTCGGGACGAGTCAAAACAACCAATCACAGCCAGAGGAGCGTCTGATGGAGTGTCAATCACAGCTCACACACGCTGAATCCCGCCCCCCAACCCCCCCCCCCCTTCTGGTCGCATGCGGTAGCCGCGCAGATGCTGTGAGAGGGGTGGAGCTTGGAGGTGGGGCATGAGTGAAGCAGAGAGGGTGGGGGAGTGGCGTGAAACCTGTTTTTCTTCAAATTTTCAGTCGAAGTCTGCTCTCTTCTCAATGTTACAGACTGCAGCTTTAAGCCATCTAGCCTCTTTTTTGACAAGGTCACAGCCCTTCATTAATGTTAATCGTGTCATTTTTCATTTATATTTGTCTAATTAAAATGGATATGTTCACTAATGATCACAATGACTGTTTTTAAAACTACAAGGTCTTTAGACAATAGCTGTATTTCACGGCCACATGACCACATTTAGCAGGAATTAAAAAAATGCCATGCAGATTTTTACTAAAACTTGCTTATCAAAGGAGTAGCTGTATGCAGGAGCATCTGATTAAATAATTTAAAAGGTCATTTGTTTCAGTAAGGCAATTGAAAAAGTGACAATGATCCATTATATTTTTTAATTGCACATGTCAATGAACAACTATTTACTTGTGTTAGGTTTATTGATTATGACTTAAAACAAAGGAAAACCTCAAATTCTGTTTAATAGAAAATTAGAAGACCATTAAAAGGCGAACTTTTAAGAAATTATGTGCTATGGTCTTGTTATTGCCTTTCCAATGATGGAAAGGATTAGCAACACCTAAAACTCTGATAACAGGACAAATAAGACTGTAGATTTATTATGTTTCAGATGATAAAACACTAACAAACACAAGCTGACACAGTCTGACTCTTTTCATTTCTGAAACTACAGTGTCAGCAAACACATATCTTGCTGTTGGGAAAGTGGTTACTTGAAGTAATATGCTGTAATATATTAGCCTGCTTCAGTTCAACAAAACAACATTGAAAATCTGTGAAATTATAAAACTTGATTCAGTCTGAGTTGCTATTTAAAAAAATGTTTAAAAGGATCATAAGGACAATTTCTGATGATAAAAAGAGAAATAAAAATAAAAACAATATCCCATCTGGAAAAACTAAGCCTAGCAAAAATGTTTACCAGTAATGTAAGAATTTACACCACTAGAAAGAAATTGGTTTGCAGGTTAAAACGAGTATTGGGAATACTGGAAACAAAAGGCTTTAAAGTGACAGAAAGCAAAAAGATTAGACTCCAAGGATGATAAAGAGTCTGTATTTACAGTGTCAGATAAGTGAATCAGGACAACACTGCAAAAAAATAAAATCTCAATAAGTCATTTTTTCTTGAAATAAATGCATTTTTTCTTGAATTTAGGAGGTTAGTGAGATACTCTACATTCAAAGCAAGAAAAAGCTATTGCATTGTCTTATTTCAAGTGCATATTATCAATTTACCTTTTTTTAATAGTAAAATGCTAATTCCATTGACAAATGATCTAATTAAAATGCTCAAATTAAGGGTAAATACAATTTATTGAAGAATTTTTTTCTTATTTCTAGATCATTTTTGCAGTGAAGAGGTCTAGCCATGTGTGCCCCTCACACTGGAAAAAATGTCTAGAAATAGGTAAAAAAATGTCTTAAATTGAGTGTATTTACCCTTAATTTGAGTAGGTAAATGGCCAATGTAGTATTTCTACTCTTAAAATAAGTTAATTAGATAAAATGCACTAGAAATAAGACAATGCAATTGTGTTTTTTTTTTTATGTCAATTGTCTTGTTCCATTGGCAAAATCTTGCACCTACCTACTCAATTCAAGAAATGCACTTATTTTAAGAAAAAATTACTTATCTAGATTTTAATTTTTTTCCAGTGCATTAAAACACCTATCCATCCATCCATCCATCCATCCATCCATCCATCCATCCATCCATCCATCCATCCATCCATCCATCCATCCATCCATCCATCCATCCATCCATCCATCCATCCATCCATCCATCCATCCATCCATCCATCCATCCATCCATCCTGCTGCCTATCTTCGCTAGGCTATTGGCTTGAGGCAGGGTAAACCCTGGACAGGTCACCAGTCTGTCACCGGGGAACACAGAGAAACACTAAGTCAAAGAAATACAACCATGCACGCGCAAAAGGGAGTGTGCCTCAGCTTTTATTTTATTTGGATTTTGCTTTTGCACAACTGGAATGTATGATGCAAGAGACAAAACATTTATACAGTGGAAACAAAAGAAAAATGTAAGTTTCAGAACTCTTCGGATGTAGTAATGTTGCCAAATGCTTAGTTTGAGCATGCTTAAACAGATTCTTTCCATCAGTGTGGTGGGAATGTTGCTTCATGTGGTGAATATTGCTTCTCTGAGACATCTGGTAAGATTTCTGAAGTTTGTTTTGTCCAGCGCATTTCACCCCAAATGTTAGTTACACTGAAATTTTAAAAATTGCACTGACATTTTAATAAGCTTAGAGTCCACGGAAATGGCAGTTTAACCACATTTACTACTACCCCCTTGAAGCAAAAAGGGTTATATAAAAATGCAGTTCTCACCACATTTGTAAAATTGAAATTGTGGATTTTGTATATATAGATGATAGTTGGAGTAAACTTTGGTACTAGAAGTATAGGGGATGTACTGACTGCCCATTCTTTGTTTGTTTTTTTATTTCATTGAAGTAGTAAGGAAATTAGGTGAGAATCTACACTGCAAAAACTATCTAGAAATCAATCAATATTTCTTAAATGAAGTGTATTTACCCTTAAATTGGTAGGTAAATAAGACGATTTGCCAATGGAATGTGTATTTTTACTCTTCATATAAGATAATTGAAAATATGCACTTGAAAATAAGACAATGCAATAATTTTTCCTTATGTTAAATATAAACTGTCTTGTTCTATTGGCAAAGGGTCTCACTTACCTCCTCAATACAAGAACAAATGCACTTAGTATTAGAAAAAATGGCATCCATGTTTATTATTTTTTTTGTCATAGGGTGTTGATCAGTTAAAGGTCTTGTGGATTTTTTTTCCCCGAATTTTTGAAAAGACCTGCCCTCTCCACTTAAAAAAACAAACAAAAACACATGCATACCCACTCCCGAGAGGGAATGCCTATTAAACGCGTGCGAGAGCATGCAGGAGTCCATTTCTCCTTGCGCAGGCTATGTTTAAAAGTTGCTGTTCTCATAGCTCATAAAAGCTTACTGTGTTCGAGTCTCCACCCTAACCCCTAAGTCCCTCAATCACTATATAGAGCGGGGACTATATAGTGGACTTAATAGTTAACTCAGTTACCTGACCGTTCAGACAGATGATCACTGCTTTTTGCTTTCTGTAACTTTGCCTCCACTGTGCGATGCCTGGGCCATTTTTATTAGTCGCCAGGTTGCTGTGACAGCAAATCCCATAATGCTTTGCGAGGAGATCTCTCCACTCAAAGCATTCTGGGATATATCTGCCTCTTCTGAGGCCTTTCTTTCCTTCTCATACACTTTGTAGACACTTTGTCTCTTATGACCCTCTGCCGTTTTCAAAGAACTGCGGTGAGAAAGTTGAGCTTCAATGACTGACGGAAACCGTAGCCCACCACAGATATATGCCTGAAAGTGCACATGTGCAGAAAAAGATAGCTAACTCGGGCCGAGCACGAAGGACGGCCTTATGTAAACATACCACCGGAATGATTGACAATTAGGAGGACCACTTATTTAGATGATCCACCCAGAAATAAAAGATCGTTCTATATACCAAATAAGCTAAAATCCCTACTGTTTTTTCCTGAGGAAGAATATGTTCTTAGATTTTCCATTTGTAAATTGTATCAGCAATCTCTCTTTATAAATGTTAAAGTGAACCTGGAGTCCACTCTTTCACCACCTTCCCTCAGCTATTCTATAATCCTTTATTTTCACTTCTGACTGCTGGAGCTCTTCTCCACAGAGACTTTTTCTTCCCTGTGATAACCTTCACTTT